TACATAGCATACACACAAAAAGGTTCCCCGCTAGTGCATAATTTTTTTTCATTATGGTATTAAAAAATACACATAGGTTTTATGTATTATGGCATAGTTGATACTGTGAATACCTTGAATTTGAACAATTAATGAATCGTTTCATAGATACACATCTATCTAATTCATTCATGCTAGTTAATTAGATCCAAACTTGGCAACACCAATGGATTTTTAACTTGATAACATGCACGATCTCAATCCAAATTCTCATGGATTTACAGGAAATTCAGACTTATCATCAATTGTAGGTATCAACATAGTGTTTTTTAATATTATATTCTTCCTCTCTTGTTCGGTTTCTGTGTGGAATTTTAATACCACCATGTAAAGAACTATACCGGCGAAACATAAACAAACAAAGTGCACGTATGTATACAAACGTTTCTAATTTGTTGCCGATAAAAAGTATTATCTAAGAACCTTTTAATCTCTACCTCTAGTAGTACCTAAGAGAATAGTCAAACCGAATCTAAGAGTATCAAAATTACTGACATGTAATCTAGTCACGCAGCTATATAATGTGGCCTTTCTCCAGCCATCATCTTAAACTATGTTGTGATAATTGCCATAATTCTTCTCTGATTATTCTATCGTCTCACATTACCCTTAAAATAATCCAGACATACTTTTGTTATAGAGTTTTATAACCGAATAAAAATTACAATGGATAATCTGTACATGTTGGGACCTACAGAAAGTCGGTCCGACATAATATCCCATGTGGACATTGAGCAATACCTATTTTTGTCGAGCTTATGTATGACCTTCAAATATTATTATATACTATAACATAACTAACCAAAGAATCCAATGGCTATGATTCTACTTATAGTTCTAGGTTAAGGATCGAATATTTTTTTATCTACAGATTTCTGTTGTTAATTTTCTTTTATTATTGTAAACGTTTTAAGTTTCAACTAACAAAATATTATGACGACAAGTTGTATAGCATAACAAAAATATTCAACTCCATTGCGTTCTTTGCCAAAAGAAAAAAAAACTAAGGTTTTTCTCTTATGAGCAACATTATTTGGTCGTGAATTGACGCAAGTCATTTCAATGAACTTTTAATGCTAAACGATCTTTCTTTAGCAATGTGAATAAATAAACTCTATTAAAACATTTGTAGAGTTTATTTATTCACAATCCGATACTATTAACCCCTTAAAAAAATAAAGTACATGTCTGTTATATTTTACGGCGGTAAAACAGTCATGTGTGTCAAACCGCAATCCAAATTGCACAGGCCTGGTCGAATGAGTGTATAATATTTTCTCTGCTCATTTGAGCAACACCTTTTAACAGTGTATATTAATTTCAAATCAACTAGAAGTTTTGACTATATAACTGATAGGACTGATAGGTACCCACATATGTGTCGATGTGAATATTTGATATTGATGATAAAATGTTACTATACATTAAAAAGAAAAGTTATGAAAAAGGGAGGCGAAGAAACATCTGTTCTGCCAGACCACGTCAAAAGGAATGTAAGTGACTGAACGAGGGCGGTGTTTGTTTCTCTTTTAGCTAAAAGTCGCCGACAAATTATCCAACAAACCAACCATTTATCTCTGTTCGTGTCCAACGCCAATATATGATTTTTTTTTTTTTTTTTTTTTAATGTTAAGAATATGATATTTTTGTTTCCGTGTCAAGTATGTATGTCAAGTATGTGACTTTTAATCTATCTTACGAAAAACGTTAGGTTTAGGCAAAATACTCGGAATCGAAGGACACAACCAAACAAAGGACCTGACCCGAACCAAACTAAACCAAATTAGATGGAACCAAACATTGATATAACAAAGTTTTCATGCCATATAATCCAGGGATTTATGGGATTTTTTGTCATCGCATTTAAAGCATGCTATATGTAACAACACTGATTAGATCCCTAATCATATTGTCTATTTATAATCAAGTTTAAATTTGGGATGGTCTTTGTGAATTCATTTATCTGATGTATAACAGATCTTAAAATCAATTGGTTGCAATAGCTTCCATTCCATCCTATGATTCCTCCCAAAATCCATTCGAGTTGAACAATTATGTTAACTAGGTTTGAAGCCCCGCGCAAGCGCGGGGTTGTTTGCAATAGTTTTCTATTTAGTTTTATTTATATTTTATCTCATATGGCACATCATTTTATTTTATTAGGATGTTAACACCCCACTTTATCTCGAATTTTCTATTTCTAACATTTTAGCATATTATAAATATTATGTTTGTTTACTTCTGTTAGACTATAAACATGCATATGTATTTGACTCAACGTTAAAATTTGTAAGTATAATGTAAAATCGCATTTGCACCGAAATAAGATGAAAAATATATATATATATCTACTTTGTTGTGGTAGCATATGAGCCTCATGACCATTGATTATTTTCTATTATGTTAGTTTTGTAATGAATATATTTGGAAACAAACATATCACAATCCTTAAAATTTTCATGTTTTTCACTGCAATTAAATTTACATATAAAAACTCGACTTCTATTTGTTTAAAAAAGCAAACTCTAACTCTAATTTCTCATTGGTTTTTTATTATCTTAATTAATTTATATTCAACTTTTTAACTTGTAAACACATTATAACATTTTGAAATAGGATAAATCCTTTTAATAAAAAGGTTATTAAATATATACCTTCTTTATTAAATATATATCTCTATTATGTTAGTTTTGTAATTGAATATATTTGGAAACAAACATATCACAATCCTTAAAATTTTCATGTTTTTCACTGCAATTAAATTTACATATAAAAACTCGACTTCTATTTGTTTAAAAAAGCAAACTCTAACTCTAATTTCTCATTGGTTTTTTATTATCTTAATTAATTTATATTCAACTTTTTAACTTGTAATCATATTATAACATTTTGAAATAGGATAAATCCTTTTAATAAAAAGGTAAATATATACCATTTCAAGTTAAATATATTTTTATTTATATTCAAATTTTGATAACTTTTAACATCAAATTATCACATATTTTATATTAATTAAGTAATTTAGTTGTATTTTTCTTAGTTTTATATTATATGCATATATGTATTTGCCTTTTGTGTTTTTCTTAGTTTTATTTATATTTAAAATATAAATATAGATAAAGAAATATGAATAGTCATGTTAAATATCTTAAAAACAATTTAATGAACTTTTGCTGATGTGGATAGCCTAGATGGAGAGAGCAACTCTCCTATTATATATAAGAAGATTTATTCCTCGTCTTCTAATTGATGTGTTGAAATATTACTTTCTCCGTTTTCTTATAAATAGTGTTTTATGAGATTTTGTGTTGTTGTAAATGATACTGTTTCTTTCGCTACACTTGATTTTTGGTACATTTAGAAAAATTAATTATAAATAATAGACAAAATATATAAAGAGAAAAAGCCCATGATAAATAACTGATTAACTATAAAAAAAATTAATATAAAAGAAAATAAATATAGGTGTCTACATGTTTCTTTAAAAAACAGTGTAAAACATTATTTACAATGAACCATAGAAATATAAAATAAAACAATGTTATATATATTTTGAATGCAATTTTTCTGGAGACTCTTATTCAGTTTCAAAACACTAATTAGCTTTAGTTTTTTTTAGTTTCATTCCATGCAAATACCCATGCTGACGGTTTTCTGAAGTTTCTTTCAAAGTAAATGCCATTAGGTCTACCAATCCATGAGCGTGATTGTCCACATCGACGAGCTGATCCTCCTTTGTATGCTTCAAAATCTGCATAATATTTCATCCACAATCCTTGCTTAATAACACAACGCCATACTGTGTTTTTTGGACGTATATTCTCTCCAAACGTAATACGGTCTGAGGTATTGAATGCTAAGTTTTTGACACCTAGATCGTTGTCTTTGGAACGACAGTGACTTTGGAGAATCCTACCAGGACCAAGTTGGTTTACTATTTCTACTATATTATCAGGGCACTGAATATCTAGAAATGCTTCATTCAAACCAATAGATATATAAATAAATAACATAAAAACAATGAAATGTTTCATTTTTTTTTTGGATCTAAGATACCTTTTTATAGTAGTATTAGTTTTTGTTTTTGTTTTTGTTTTTGGAAGTACTATGGATCTAAGAACATCAAAGCGTAGTATTTATAATTTTTAAGCGATACATATTTTCCGTGTTTGTAGGAAATTATTTTCTATCGTCTAGTTAAGTAAATTTAAACATGAACATGAACCAGTTAAACTTTTGGTCATGCACGAATTTAGTGTCGAAAAGTATGGCTGACCATTGAAATTTCACCAAATGAGTCCAACCTTACAAATCAAACAAAACCAAAAATGTAAGATGAAATAAATCTATCGACTGTATCACCAAAAATTGTAACCTAAATAATTTAAAGTATAATTTCAGTTTGTTCTTAATTAATATAAATGTTTTGTATATTATATATCCCTGGTCTCATTCTATTATAAAGGTAAAAATATTGGTCAGTTGTAAATAAATTTATATTTCATATCTTCAGTTTTGTAGTTAACTTTAATATAAATCATTATCTTTTTTTGTTTGGTTCAATAAAAAAAAAATATCATGTAAAGCAAACTATTACTGGTCCCCGAAATATAGATCTCCACATGGAAATTCCGATCGTTAGATCAGATGTTGCAAAAGCAGCAAAACCCATATGCTTCATATATAACTAATGCCTTTGTGTGCGTGCATGAATTGTATAATCTATAAATATAAATCGGATTTGGCTTTAATCTTTGTGTTGTGGATCCCATCATGTTCTCTCCACTGACCCAAACTCCTTAACCTGCTCGTCGTATTTTTTTGTTTGCTTATAAAATCATCTCTATAAATAGTAAACATCAATGAATACAAGTTCTCATACTCTCTTGCTTCATCTCATCTTGCATCTCTCTCGTATAAACCCTCCCACAAGTTACCTTTATTTCCCTTAAACAGTCGTTATGGCGATTTTGATCCTTAAGCAATCTCTAATCATACTCCTAATCGTATTTTCATCACCCATCTTGCGTTCTCAGGCTAGAATCCTCCGTGTAGACCGCACCGCAACCAATACTGTGGGGAATATGGATAGTCAGATTCTCCTACGTGAACTCGGGTTTGATCTCTCCAAGTTCAACGGTCACAACGAGAGGCGGTTTTTAGTGGATTCCGACAGGGTTTCACCGGGAGGACCTGACCCGCAACACCATTGACTACTCGTCGCGGATATATATGTTCTTTACCGGAGATCCAAGCACAAATAATTGTGACTGATCCATGCAAGTCATTTGAATATCGCTATTTATATGTTTTCTCTTTTGTTTCTTTCATAAATTTTACGTACAATTTTGTTGTATTAAGGTATTGGTATTGTTTTACCTCCTTATCTTGATACATCAAACTTTTTCTCTGTATGTTTTCGTGTGTCTCCATTGAGTTACCTTTTATGTAACAACAATTGGCTTATAATTAATGTTTCCTGGTCTTCTGTATTTTAAGTTTTGCCTTTTCATTTATCGGCGAAAAACAAAATTTTGTTTCACAATGTAATGATTGAAACTAGCACTTCAAAATACATATGATCCCACAAGATAGTTTTTCATAACTTGATGACCAAACTAATAATGTAAAAAAATTTAAGATGCGTCAAAAATCCGATCGGTGGAGTATAGTTATCGTATCAATTTTATTAAATTGGTATGTGTACATTCATGTTAAACTTAAACGTATTTAATTTTATATTATAAAATATTTTATTAATTTTATTAAATTGGTGACCAGAGCTGTACTTTTCACAATTGGATTAAAAAAATTAATGTATACATAACTTGTTTAATCTCCAGATGCGAGTTACTAAATATGTCATTTAGCTATTGTCAAATTTATTTGGTGAGCATTAATTTTAAGGTTGAGAGATTGATTGAAGGTTTGCGTAGAACTGTTGTCATCAACTACATATTTTAGTAGTATGTATTTAAGTGATTTATATAAAATACAAGATAATAAGATTGTAGAAACAGTTTGATGCATTTGCCGACATCAACAACAGTGTTGGAAATTTTGAGAGGTTCAAATTGTAAATAATGAACATGACAAACTAACATATTCTCCACAATATAAAGATTCTCGTCTACGTGCGCACATCTATATGTATTCGCTTGACTTTCATTTGAATGAACTTATTTATCAATTAATAATATTCTAGTCTTGACATTCTCATATTGGTCTAGGAACTCACAGTCACAGTCACCAGTTGAATCCATAGAATATTTAATGTTTGATGATGACCTATGACAGACAAACAAGACTGCTAAGTATATATATATATACCTTTTGTAGCGAATAAAAATGAGTAAATCTGTATCTTGATTCTTGACTAGTTTAATAATGCTAGTACTGGTTCATGCATACATGATACGTATAACATAACACACTCTCTTTTCGCTCGTGAGAAAGAAATAATATATTGGAAAAATATGATTCATTTCACAAAATGGGCCTTGAAATGAATATAATGGGCTTTCTTCACCAGCAACGATGCTCGCTACTTCTTCTCTAGTCTTTGCAGCAAAACAACCGTTGTTCAAACGCATAATTTCAATCAATTATAAAGGCAGTGAGATTTATGAGCATTTAATTTTAATTATTTGATAGAGATTTGATCTACCAAATCAAATACTAATACGGTCGGTAGTTGCACCGAACAACGCGTCGTCTCTCTCGAAGACCTTCTACGAGAAATTTCAGAAGAAGACTCAACAGCGACTGTAGAAGAGTCGTAACAGAAAGGAAAACTCACCGGAGCCGCCACCATGTGCGACGGAGACTGCCGTCCTCTCGGTTTCCTCTTAGGTCTCCCCTTCGCCTTCCTCTCTCTCATTCTCTCCATCGTCGGCGTCGTCATCTGGATCGTCGGGTCCGTTCTCTTCTCCCGAGTTTCTCCTCTTCTACTTCCGATTTCTCCGCCTAGCTCTAGTTTCTTCCTAATTTCTCTATTTCTTCATTATAAATCATCATTTCACAGCTCGCATACACATAGATTCGTTGTTTCGGAATCTCCACCTCGCTGATTTCATATGCTGTTGCTATACGCTTAGATTGAAATTCCAAAATTTGGTCTCGGTGTGAAGTAATTGAGAATTATGCTTAAAGCTTCTGATTCTGGTGATTTTTTTTTCCCGCAGATTGACGTTATCCTGCATATGTCCTTGTTGCTTATGCGTGACCATACTCGTGGAGATCGCATTAGGGTTGATCAAAGCCCCAATTCATGTCATGGAATGGTTCACATCCAAGATCCCTTGTTGATCTTCTTCCAGATTCGTTTCTTCTTCTTCCAATTACATCAATAGTCCACTAGTTTCAAATTCCATCTTGTTATTGCCAGGATTTGCTTCTATGTAGTAGTGAAAAATTCTGAGATTTGATATTTTTCTTGTATGAATAAATAAAGGTTTTTTTTTTTTATGAATTTCAACATTGTATTGTAGCTATATTCATGGTAATTCACATTCTTCGTCTTCTTCTTTAACATTCTTTTCCACGTCGCCATTGAGAATCCACGTCCCGTCATCTCTTTGAACCATCCCTTTGTTCTCAAGAACCCACCAATACGAAGGCACCAAGTACTTATCATCAAGAGCATCTAAACCTTTATTAACCAACGCAATATCCCGGTTAATCTCCAGCTTGAACTCCCCGTGATCCTGCTGCGTCCCCGCAACGCCGTGCAAGTAAGCCTCAAGGTTATGGAAATGCGCCAGGTTCAGAGATCGTTTCAGATACTCTGATTTCAGCGTGTTGATCTGAAGCTCTTCCCCTATATCCGAGAACCGGAACACCGGGTAACGCGGGATGAGATCCGGGACGTTTGCGATTCTCAAGATGTTGAGTTGTTTCAAAGACTCGACGAGTCTTTTGAAGCTGAGGTCGCCGATTCTTGGACTCCCGAAGGCGAATACCGTGACGCAGTAAAGCCTTGCTTGAAGACTTGTTGCCGTCTTTGGCCATTCGTTGTGGAGAAAGTCTGTTGCTGAGAGAATCGATAGAACTGCTCCCAAGCTATGCCCTGTTAACGTGATGGTTACTTCTTCGTCTTTGTACAATTCTAGTAGCCTTTTGAGCTCTCCTTGAACCTGAAAAGCCAAAACAGAGCCAAAGATGTGAAGTTACTAAGTTAGGAAGGGAATAGTTTTTCTTTTTGTTCTTGTTCTGAGAGACCTGTTCTCGTGCACTGGTCTTGTCGAAACGTGACCGTGGATCAGCGGTTGTGTAAAGAGAGAGCCAGCCATTGGCAATGCGAGGCGGGTCGTTCGGGTCATTCGGGTCGGTTTTAGGGAAGACAGAGATAGCTGATTCGAGTGGGAAGTCGAAATCGTTAGCCCATTCGTAGAGCTGAATGGTTCCTCGCCAAGCTACAACGATGTCTCTCCTCCCTAGCAACTGTTTGCCTTCGTCTGTAGCCACCGCGATGTAACCCAACCAGTTTGACTCTTTGTTCCATGCTTCTCTCGACAATGAGTTGACTATAAAACATTCCGGTAGCCTTATTGACGACGTTCCGTATATGTACTTGGTCACCTCGTACCTGGATGATGATAACCATTTTGTCACATGTTTTGATAACTAAACCGAAATTTCTCTAATCGGATGCGTTAATTTGTTACCGGAAAGGGTTGGCTTTGAGGTAGCCGGTTCGAGCAAAGAGCTCTTCCTTGGTGTAGCAGCTGTCTCCTACGTATTTGGATCGGCGGTCACTGTTAAAGGCAACGTACCCGACCTCAGCCATGTCGCCATAGTGTAGGATGTAACGGCGTAGATCCAAGTCGAGAGGATCAAGCAGGTCTTTCCATTTGCTTTTGCCGCTCAGTTCCTGCCATCTCTTAGCGATGTCTCCCATCATTTCCTCTTACTTCTGATCCAAACCTCCTCCTCCTCTTTGTGGTCTTGCAAAAATTTGGTTGGAGTGTTCAAATGTTTGGATAATGCGTGAAGTATTGGTCCTTAATACATGCTCTTCACATAAGTTTTGCCTTGTGTTTAAAGACTTAAAAGTGTATATACGCACGTTACAATGGTTGGATAGGAAATGAAAATTATATAACAAATATAAGGAGAATTAAGCCCATTATAATTCACTAGTATTTATGTTAATTACATTTTAATATTAAATTGACAATGGAAGAATCTCAATCACAATCACAAGAATCGACAAATTATTCATAAAATTGTAGAAAAAATGAATATGTAAAAACGAGAACTATGAAGTAAGAGATGCGTAGAGAAGTAGGTTCCAAGTGTCAGGGAGACCAGGGAGACACCAATGGCTGCAGTCTAGTTTCTTTGTGACACCATTGTAGAGACTTGGGTGTGCGTCTTTCCGATACTCCGATAGAGTAGTAAGATCGAGAAGACGGACCGGTTTCTTGATTCGGCTCAACACTTTGTTAACCACAATCCAACCTAAGGGCAATCCTCCTGGATAACTTTGTCCCATGAATGGCTGAGTTTGGTCCTTGCACGACTTCAATGGTTCATTCCACTCTCTTCCGCTGTTTTTAAGACACAATGAATGTTTTGAAAACGTACTGATTCATGTTTTTTTATTTGAGATGGTAAATTTTAGATGAAGAATTAAAGATAGAGAATAAAGTAAACTTACTCATAGTGGACAGGAGAAACACCTTGAAAGAAAACTTGAGTTTTAGAAGGGACAATGTTGTGGTTAATCCAACGAGCCCATGTGTTTAATCCTTTGTAAAAAGCGACAAGCCTGTTCATGTCTTTGTACAATTTGTTTCCTTCCCTCATATAATCCCACCTATATACCAAACCGTTATTAAACACTTGGTTAACAATCATATGAATGCAATATTAAAATAGAAAAAGAGGGTTTAAGGTTAATTAATGCGATCTTACGGCTGGAGTCCGGAGGTGTGAGTCCACCAGTGCCACGAGTTGAAGATGAGAACGTCCATGCCAAGCCAAGCATCGGCTTGTTTGATGGAGTCAAGCACAAGCACTCTTCCTGCCTTTTCTTGAACCACGTCTACTAGAAACTGTGTTCTGTACAGAAGTATTGTCACTCCATAATCCTGCCCATTTATCATTTATTAAAGACATAAGTATTTAGTTTTAGTGTCACTACAATAGTTCGTCATTTAATCAAATGAAATTAATTGATCTATTTAAAATGAAAAATACTCTATAGTCATGCCGTCGATTGAATTTTAATACGCCGAAAGAGAAAGAGAGAAAGACACGTAAACGTAAACCTAATGAAGAAGCTAGAGACATTGAAGTCAGCCCCAACGGTGACAGACTTGTCACTGTTTAGTCCTTGTATGCATGTAAAATATGGAGATCCCCAAAAACAATTAAAATTAAATAAAACATATGTCGTAATTCATTAAATTCGTGAAGGCCCACTTCTTAATTTATTGTACACTCTGCTGATTAGAAAACGACAATTAAGAAGGAGACATTGACCCAAGTGGTTATCAAAATCATTTTGTATATAGTGTCTTAATGATCCGATCTGTCGTTTATGCTTGGCTCTATTGAGAAGTCTCTTACAAAGCTTAATTAATACTCCCTCCTTTTTAAAGATAAATTTTCTAATTTTTTCACACGGATTAAGAAAAAGTTGATTTTCAATCATTAGTGCATAGATTTCTGCAATAAAACAACTTTTTATAATTTTAAACCAATAAAAATCAAACAAATACAATCAATGTTTCTTGAAAACTGAAAAAGTGCTTCAAAAAGGTAAAAAATTTATCTTTGTGAAACAACACATAATTGCTAGAAAATTCATCTTAAAAAAATGGAGGGAGTAGCTACGTACGACTTATGTCAGAATGGTCTATAATTCAATTTTCGTAACCTACACTGTAATTGTCTTGGCCACAAAATTAATATCCTCGCAAATTTAATAATGAAAGCTATATAGGATTATCTTAAGCACACCAATATTGTTGAAATATAATCATTTTCAGAATATAAACTAGATGGTGACGTTGTAGGAACTCGTTTTTCAACATCAAAGTGGAATATATTGCAGTCATATCTCATATAAAATATATATACTTTTTATAAATTTTGTTTCGTAAATGACAAGTGGTTGATCAATCGTATACCCCAAACTTAAGGAACATGGCTACGTATCTGATCTTTGTTTGACATAGCACTATCTCGCAAGCACTTTGCAGGGTTTGTTTCTTTTTTACTGTCTGATGCAAAATTGAATGCCAAAAACCAAAAGAAAAGGCCGATAAATGAAAGTAAAGACAACGTTAATAATTAAAAGTTATAGTTTGGAGTTTAATTTGCCATAAGCGATGACTCGTAATAAGTCGTAAGTCGTAAGTCGTAAAATAAACACTGTTTATAAGTCCATGCATTATTCACTTATTGACAAAAAAATTCAGAACAAAATTATAAGGTTTCACGAAATACTGTATTTAACACACCTATATAACTGTTCGCCCCCAAAAGGAAAGTTTTCTCAATACCAATGAGCTAAACGAACCAATACATTAAAGAAAACTTTAATCAGGTACTTACATGGTATTTGATTGGTAATTATTGATGTTTGAGATCAATCAATGATCATTTGGAGTACTGTTTAATTTGTACTAATTTAACCCCACAAAGAGTTAAAACTTAAAAGTTAAAACAATATTTTAGATTTATTCTCTTTGTTTTAAATTAACAGTAGTTTGTCAAATATGTTTATAAGAAAATTATACTATTATGTGTACTCCTATATGAGACATCATAACTCAAAGGACCCTTCTCCTATTGCTGACTTTAGTTATAGCTTTTCTAGAAATAATTATATATGTCATTATCTTCATTAGTTGCAATTTTAGGTAACTTCTTACTAGATTGAAGATATATTACTAACAAATAAAGGCATGACATTTGGCGATGACTGTACAAATCAACAACTATTTTTCTACAATTGAGGTAGGTTTCTACTTTCTAGTGGTGTTTGGTGTTCACTTGATAAAGCTAGGATCTTTTGTAAAATCAAGAAAGAAGGACAAAAACATAGACCAGAATATCAAAGAATCAAAAGTAGTACTATGAAACGCTTACTTTTAAGTGAAGTTATTGATATATGAAAATAGAAACAAAAGACAAATAAAATATGATTAAAAAAACAAACCTGGAAAGTGAGGGAAGTGAGAGGTTGGCTTCGACGAAGAGAATACTTAGCATTAGGGAGAGAAGCATGAAGCAAACATGCCAACGATTCGAACATGTTAAGACTCAGTGAGTCACCAACCATCATTATCTTCTTCCCTCTCATTCTCCTCATAAAATTCACCCCATCAAATCTGTAATTTCATTTCAATTTTTAAAATTTATTATGTTTTGTTCATATATCTCGTGTGCAGAAATGTCTTATTAATTATCAGATTTTTCGCATGCTCAATTTACACTATACATATTGAAACACAATAGAAACATAGACATCAACTGTTCGTTTGCGTTTAGATGTAATTTGAACTTTTGTTTTTATTTTTTTGTTCAAAATGAATAACAATCTCTACCACCTTAAGGCTTAAAGAACACATATTTTTAATTGTGAACGTAAGTACAGACACCAACAAACATATCCCAAAAGTATTTTATAAAATTATGAAAAATATTTTATATTTTAAAAGAAAGCAGAAATTAACGTTTGCAAAAGCATAGCTTTTCTTCTAAGTAGTTAATGATCCTATGTAGTTAATACATGTGCAAGTACCTGGGAAGAGAACATGAGAAAGGTTGCCATCGGAAGTGTTGATAGTTAGTGTCGGGTCGACCCGCTTTTTGGCAGTTGAATTCAGAGTCGATGAAGGGACAAGAAAAAGGACTATAGAGAGGATATGAAGAATCATAAACCCATTTGCCTCTAAACCAATTGCATGATCTCTCTCCTGTCAAGAATCTTGTGTTGTTTTGTCCAAAGAAATGTTGTTGAGATTGTGCTAATAGCTCAGGGAATGAAGAGAAGAGTATGAGAAAAAGAGAGGCTAAGTTGAGTTGGAAACAGAATCCCATTTTGTTTTTGGGGTTGCCAAGAAAGAATGATCAACTTACTCTTCAAGCCTCAAAGCTTTTTATAGATTAAAAAAAGTCTTTGTACCTACAGTGAGTTTTCTTGTTTACCTTCCTTGTTTAGTTTTTGAATTACATTTACTTTTATTTCCGTGGACAATAATCGAGCCAAAACATACGATTTCACTCCTAAAAAGTATGTCTAGCTAAAGTAAAATAACTCGAAAAACATTGTCACCAAACAATGTATCGGTTACTAACAACAAGATTAATTTAAGACTGAAAGATCCATTTGTTTCACATCAATCGTGTTGTGTTTCTCATTTACATAATCTTTTTCTTAATCTTTTTTTTTTTAACGGTATATATTTGATCTGCGCAGCCATTGGTGAACTGTGAACATGCATGTTGTAAGAGAATGAAAAGACAAGGATGATGTATACATATAGTTGCAATTTGCACATGTTATGATGAGTTTTAAGGGTGGCTTGCTTTTGCCAACTCGACCCACCACTCACTCACCAAAACTTATTCAGTATTTTTTTCCAATTTCATTTCGTTATAACTAAGCTTTATTAACCCACACCTAACCAATGCTTTTTTAGCTGAAGACTCTTGTTTAGGTAATTCGAATCTAATTGTTTCAATTTTGACTACTTTTTTAATGTGGAAACAAAGGAACAAATATAACTATTTCTAGCTGTAAGCATCAATTTCGTACTCATTTGGCTCATCTTCTAACTCAAATTGTTAATGATCATACCTTCATTAGCAAGCTATGATAGAAAACCCCAATAGCAATTATTCATTCATCAACAAATTCAATAATTACTTCAACCGCCGAGTTATTAATTATCATCAAGATTAAAAAGTAGTATTGTTTTTGTCTATTGCCAATGCCAACCAATAGAAAACAAGAAAAACTAAACTAAAAAACACAAATTAGCACAATAGGTCGAGGCTGAAGATACTTCTACAAGGGCTTGCAAGATTCTGAACTCTTAGAAAATTATTTGCGAAAATGACTTATAGTTTCCTTTTTGAAGAAGATATACGGCTGAGATTGTCCCAAACTTTGTCAATTAGTAAACCAAATTAAATAAAAAATGAAAGATAAGGAAATGAAGTGGAGTGGTCCTTCTTATGGAACAAAATGGAAATGTAAAATAGACGAAACAAGAAAACAATTATTACACAACCACCATGGGAAAGACTTTATCCCACAAAAGACTTCACAAATGCAAACAAGAATTTATTTATAAGAAAAGAAAAACATTTGTACCTAAAATCAAAACAGAAGTAAATAAAGTTTTTGATAAAGAAGATAAGAGCCTTATTTATTATGTAAACCAGAGAGGAAGCTTATTTAGCTGCTTCTTATGTTTTTTGCTTATACATTCTTTATTTACAAAGAGAGTGCTTAATTGCTTATATAATTTATGTGTAAGTAACCATTAACATTTTAGTATTTTCACAGAAGCTCCCATTCAGATTCTTCTGATGATCGGTTCTCCTCAATCTGTTTCGGATCATCACCACATTCTCTACCATTTTCAACATCTTCTGCGTACCATTGACGCGCAAGTCGCTTGTATTCTTTCTCTCTGTTTTGCTTCATTCTTGAAGATATAGCGTCTCTGATCTTCTGTAGAAACAGTTTATTAATAAGGCCTTGTTGTTGCTTTATTTGTGAATGTAAAACATGAAACAAAGAAAAGAGAAAGGAAAGAGGACAAGTACCTTGTAAGGTTTGTGTCTGTCATTCTCCTTCCTGTCAAGAAATACACAATGGAGTTCGTCTCTGTCCACAATGATACAGCTTTCTTCAACTGATCTTCCACTAAGCTGTTGAAGAACATCTGGCTTCTTCTCTGAGACAAAACTCGAACTACTTCTCATCGACTCCTCGTTGGTTTCCTTTGTGCAATCTGAATAGAAGAAACCATAAGCAAGATTAAGTGATTCAATTCTTTCTTTTGCATTCCATTATTAATGCAAACAATGATAAGGGATCACATGATCATCATATTTCCTAATTGATAGAGAACCTATGTTGTGTTACTTGTACCAAGATCCATATCCATAGCTCAAAAGAGAAAACTGAGACAGTAATGAGAAATAAAAAGGAGAACTTTACCATCAGATCCTGCAGGTAAGCTAGTGGCAACAGATGTTTGAATCTCTGAATCTTGAGTCCTAACAGAATTAACCACCATAAGACCATGCTCATTTTTGTTTCTACTCTCTGAATCTTGACTTCTAACAGAATTAACCACCTTAAGACCCTGCTCATTCTCGGTTTTAACCACTGAATCTTGACCCCTAACAGAATTAACCACCACAAGACCGTTTTCACTTTTGGTTCTACCGTCTTTCTTCTCTTTAGAGATGAGTCTTTTTACTTCACCTAGAGGAGAATCACTTGACCTCACAGTTCCGAGATCATCTTTAACACGAGTACGATGAACCATCGACAAACTACCCGAGTCTCTCTGCATATAAGAAGGCCTCGTGACTTGAAAAATCTCCTCTTTTCTAGAGACTTGTTTGCAGCGGCCGAGTCTCGTTCTCCTATACGGACCTCCATAACCATCCTGTCTTGGAGAAGTACATATATCGTAATCATCTGCATCAAGACCACGGAGCTTCATCGCACACCCGTCCTTCTTCCCTTCGTTCACCTCTCGCTCTTGCTTCACAACATCTCTGCCTTTTCGGTTCAAGCTCTCTCTCTTCTTCTTGAAAGAACAAACAGGAGCGTATTCATGCAGCATAGCAACCGGTACCGGTGACGGTTTCTCCGAAGAAAGAGACTCATCGGTACGCAAGTCTTGAACCACATCGGAACAGAACTTCTTGACCGTGTTTCCAACCGTTAGGACTTGGTTCTCAACGTATTTTGCAGTGTCCTAAAGAAGCAAACCAAAGAGTTAGTAAACAATCAACAAGTCCTTAACACAAAAGCAAACAGCTTTTTACCTGTACGATGATTTCTTCAACCTCTAAGCACATTGCTTCAAACTTCTGGTATACATTCCCAACCCATCTCATACCTTTAAAATCCATTACTTCCTCTGAATCCAAATAACGTACACACAACAGCAATTCACTAGTTAGAGAAACAGGATTGCAAAAGCAATAGAAGCAGCTCTATATCAAACTTATGTTAATGTGTATATATATAAGAAGAAAAAAAGACGGTTGCTTTGGGCCATTATTATACAAGAGAAGATGGCTAATGCAACTTCTAAGTAAACCCTTTTGCATAGGTGTATCCACTTCCCAAATCCTAGGAGCCTTTTATAAGCTTTCTTCTAAACAAAAAACAGCTTTTTGGCTGCAGGAAGAAGCTATCTCTCTGTACCACATGTTTTCTAATTGCTCTAAGGATTAAACATAAACTCTGTTTTTGAATCACAGAGCCAGAAATAGAAAGTTCAAAAATTTGTCAACACCATATTTAATCAGTTATCACGGAGAAATCAAACGATCATGTGACAGAAGCTCTAAGAGAGACTTGTGGAAAATAAATTTCAGGTTTCTAGATCATTAAACTAATAGCTGATTGCTTCTAAAGACCACCTAAATCTTCAATTCATAGCTGATTTATGAATTGGAAAAAAAACAAAACTATGTTAGCAAAAATCAACCAATTTTTGCGACGAGAGAAGCATACTTTGAGAAACTTCGAAGTCCAAAACGAGGGAAAATAGGAGGGAAAAAAACGTGAGCAGAGAGATGGAGGAGATGAAGAAAAACCCTAAAACCCGGAGAAGCTCTTTTGGAATCAATCAGAAATTTGAAAAGAATAATCTTTGAGATAAGAGAGAAGATAAGAAGAGAGAGAGAGACGGATCATTAACCTCAAAGCAACGTACAAGGATCAACGAGTTTTTCTGGTTTCTCACTCGATTGAGATTTTGTTGTGAGGTTTTCGTGAAGGATTAGAGATTGAGTAAGTTATAGCGATGAAGCAAGCAATGGCAAACCAAAACTTTTAGAGAAGCTCTCTTCTCTCTCTCTCTCTCCTTTTTACAGGAAACTCCGGGTTCGGGTTTTACCCACCCGATTTCGTCTTTTCTGGGGCCCAGAGATTGCGTTGACAATTATTATTTTTTATCGAGAAGGGAATTAGTGTAAACATCTGCTTTTTCCGATTTTGACACGTGTCACGCAAGTGGATCTCTGTTGATTCCATTCCCGTTTCAGGATTAGACCATCTCCATCCCTAAAACCATGTTTTTTGTTCCAACCTATTTTTTTATTATTAATTTTCACAAAAATCAATACTAACAACTTTTGAATGGTTTTTTCCCTTTTTCTCTTCTTCCATCCCTAAATCCTTTTATTTGGTTCTTAACAATTTTTTTTTTTACAAAATTCAAATTCAATTCATTACTCAAGAGAGAATTGAGCGTGAGTGAGCAACAATATCTCTTTACCATATAAGCTCATCAACTCTATACACATCCAAACGATCAACATAGATACATCTATGGTTATGTTCAAAAGAAACCTGCCTAAAATCCCCAAAAGAGATGTCACTTACAATTACACAACATGAGTACTGATTCAGCTGAGAGATTTCATAAAACTAGTATTAAACCTTTAATTAAGTCGAGAGCTTGGTGATTGACATAACCAGCTTCCACAAGCCCAGGGGTGTCGATAATGTTTATAGTGAATCCTCCCATTGTTCTTTAAACCATCACCGTTCTCAACCCTTCTGCCTACAAAATCCAAGAAACTTAATCCCGACCCATTCACAAACAAGAGACCCCATCACTCCAAAACCCTTCTCCAAATTAAGTGGGTCTAAAACCAACACATTCAAACCCCCAAATTCGATTATTAGTAGTCAATATATACAATAGGAACAACCAAGTGTGACAGATGAAAGATTTTGTTGGATGCAAAAGAGTAAGAATATGAAATTCTGTTAACGAAATCAGAATCGTGTTCTTCCTAAGTAGATGCTTTGTCATTTTAGAGAAGTGATATTGTAATACAAACAGATTTATGAAAAGGCCTATGACTTATGTCTGATCTTTGATCTATCAAGCCACAAGTAAGAAACTTAAAAAAAAAAAAAAAAAAAAGTGGATCACAAGCTCGAGCAACCGTTTCAGAATCTGAAGAAAATGGATGAAGCAAAAACATAGAAAACGTACTAAAACCCACCAAAATGTAAAGCAATTGTAGTACTCAAAGCTCACCTATGGCCACGAAATCACAAACATGCAAAAACCATTAAAAAGAGAAGAGAGAAGACAAATACTTTCCTTTTCCAATCGGTGTCCAGCGGGATGTCAAGCATAGAGGAACCCACCGGCTTGCTCAGTCCGTCGATGGCATGGAATCGGAAGAGGTGTGAATCGTTTTTTTCCGATTGGAGACGGAAATAGGGAAAGACAGAGCTTCAGTGACTGTAATAAAGAGACGTTGATACTCACACAGATCAATAGACATAGAAATAGACACCTCTCCGATAAGATGTCGACCAAATCCGATCAACGGAATCGCAGATTCGATTATCGTTGTTTCTCGACGTTGGAAAGACGAGAGAGAGAGAGAAATGAGGGATTTTTTATTTTCTTTTCTTTTCTCAAAATGTCGCTCTTGACACGTGGACGGTTTTTAAATTAGAAAAGGAAGCTAAGGTAAGACTCGGATTTAGTATATTACTGGATTAAAACTTTATTTAAATCACATATTACCCTTAAAACCTTCTTTAAATCCCTGGATGGAGATGCCCTTATAGAAAGAAAAATAAAGAAGAAAAACAACACATAAACTATACGTCAATTAGGATTTTGAGTTTGGTCACTTAACGCAGAATGATTTGGGTTTTGAATAAACATACTTTCAGTCGGAGTTTGCTAAACAAAAGAAATATTTATTAAGTATGTTGAAAGTTAAACAAAACCACTAATGAAAAAAAAAAAAAAAAAAAAAAAAAAAAAAAAAAACACCTGAAAGCCTCAAAACGTACGTACGGTAAAAGAAAGAAGTAAAAACAAAAGGAAAGAAAACGTGAGTGAGAATCTATCAAACTAAGATGAAAAGAGAAAGTAAAGAAGCCAGGAAGCAGGATCCGATCCAAACACTAGAGTTTGAAGCTGCGCTTTGTGGAGCTGGTGATGGTGATGGTCCCATCTGGTACTGTGGCCCATTGTTAACTGGTGCATAAGCCAAAGGAGACGGTGAAGGAGACGAGGACGAGCTTCTTGGTCGGACCGATCTAGGAACGGGAGCTGGTGATGGTCCCATCTGGTAATGTGGACCAGTGTTAACCGGTGCATCAGCTAACGGAGACGGTGAAGGAGACGAGGACGAGCTTCTTGATCCGACCAATCTAGGAACGGGAGCTGGTGATGCTGGTGATGGTCCCATCTGATTATGTGTACCATTGTTAACCGGTGAATCAGCAAACGGAGACGGTGCAGGAGACGAGGACGAGCTTCTTGATCGGACCGGTCCGGGAACGGGAGCTGCAACTGGACCCAACGATGCTGGTAAGACGAGGATTTGAAGCTTTTGACCTACCTCGCAGTGTTCAGGATATCCGCAGATAAAGTTGTGGATTCCCGGTTTGGTTAGACGGACCGTGTCATAACCGGTTTCGTGTCTCGCTAGAGGGCTAGACGGTTCACAGATCTCGAAATCATTAGAAGTGACTTCATTGACGCTGTGGTACTCCTTGTTGTATTTGAAGAGCAAAGAGTCTCCGACTTTAAACATTCTCGAAGAAGCCCAAGCCTCGTAATCCGCACCCATCATCGTCCATCCCTTAGAGTCGCCAACTTTGTGAACGGTTCCTCCAACGGCAGCTCCGATGAGTGCCACAAGAATCAGCAAGGACGTGAAGAAGGATTTGCTCTTGATCAAAGCCATGATCGATGTTTTTGTTGTTCTTGTTTGGAACGAGAGAATAACGCCGAGCAAAAAGAAAATAACTTTGAAAGAGGTTTGTGAAGATTTGAGTTTATTTTGGTGAGAAGTTTGAGAGGGCACTAACATGTTTATATAGAGCCCGAGGTATGGTTTGAGCTAAATCCTTTTCCCATTAGATATGTGAGTATTTGGATAATTCCTAGTGATTATCGATGTTACTTTCTCGTTCCTACTTCATATATGAAATATATTAGATATACACAATGACCTTGTATATATTAATCCGATTCCGAGTTTCCTTTTTATCTTTAACTTTTATATAGCTTATATGTTTACTTATCATCAGATTCTTCTACTTATCTGATTTATTGTTTGCGTTGCATGGTTTATGGCTTTATGCGGTAGTAAATTGATTTTTTTTATTCAGATGGGATTGATATTCGATGGAATAAATGGATTTTAAATAATCATCAGTAAATCTCTTCTCAATATAACATATCTTATAAAGAAATATTCCCATCTGAATAAAAAAGCATTACTTGAAAATCAAGGAAAATTGAAACTGATAATACGATTTAACCATATGATTCAAAGATAATACGATGGCACTGACACGAACCGGTTTATTAATTGGCCGTCTCAATGCAGTTCGGTTCAGCTACTAATTAAAGAAACAGTATAATATCGTGACAATATCCGAAATAGATGACAAGATGGGGGACTATTTTGAAATTATTCTTACTAAAATATTTTTGGTTTCCGATTTCCGATTTCGTTTCAACGCAACACAAGATTTTTATGAAACACTAGAGTCATAGGGTTGTTGTTGCTGTTCTTCTTCTTCCGATCGACCACGGCGGCGAGGAGGCGGAGAATACTGACGCGATTCGCGGCGGAGGAGCCCCCTTCGAAATCCCTAAAATATTTATTTTTGAAATCGATTCGGTCATGGCCTCAATTTCGACATGGTTCAGATACATGGCTCACAAGCTCGAGTATTCCCTCGCTCTCAGTGTCAAGGTTCCTCTTACACACACACTATCTCTCTCTTAGAATTATGCTTTCTTTGTTCTTCCCAATTATCATTTATTGAGCTCTGCATTCGAATGAATTGAATCGAATTGAATTGAGTTCTGTTTTTTAATGAAAAAAGGTAAAATCTTGATGTTGAGAAATTACAAAGGGGCTTTGCTTTTTATGTTGGCAGCTTTTGAATTCTTGAATGCTTCTATAGAACAAAACTCATATGAAATCAGAAACTCATATAGTTCACCAATTGTGATTTGTGAAGCAGACCACTTTACTCACAGGACAATATGTTTAATGTTGTGTTCATTGACCTCAATATCTCAAAAAATCCTTCATGATCGTTCTCTTATAACACATTGTGGAAACTTATGGTTTGTGATTTGATTCATTATTGTCAGAGTCACAGGAGAGAAAAACTGAGTGACCGAGAACTCATTCAAATAGTGTGCAAGAATCTATTCCATGGGAAAGTAACCTACTTACACTCAGACAAAGGACCTGAAATGTCCCCAACCATGGGAGCTCATGAAAACACACTTCTTATCCGTAAGATACCAATCGCTAACAGGAGGTATGTTCATGTAAACCTAACACTTCTTGTTCTTATTTCAATCTTTAGTGTTGCATTACTCGCTCTGTTACACTGTAATCATAATGTTTGCCTCTTCACATGGTTGATGGTACACAATTATTGGAACTCTTATGGTTAGGTTTGTATTCATTGGAGATGCTGTGGTCTTAAAAGACCCAAACGATTCTGATAAGTATCTGGTAAGAAGATTAGCAGCTGTAGGAGGAACCGAAATGGTATCCGGTGATGAAACAGAGGAGCCTTTTGTTCTCGAAAAGGATCAGTGTTGGGTAACAGCTGAAAACCTTGAGCTCAAAGCTAAGGTACATAGATTCTTGAAAACCTGAATGATCTTAAAGCAAGACCCAACTAAAAGTCTGTAGTTTCTTTCTTGATGACTTTTATCACACATTGTGTTTGTTTGATTGTTTGAACAGGAAGCATATGATAGTCGAACGTTTGGTCCAGTTTCAACAGCAGATATTGTTGGAAGAGCTATATATTGTCTGAGAACAGCCGTAGATCATGGTCCCGTTCGAAACAGGTTTAAACAAAAAACTCTTGTCTCTTGAGCAGAGCAATTAAATTGTGTTTTTTTTTTTTTTTTTTTTTTTGCTTACTGTTTTAATTAATAATTTGTTCAGTCACGCTGCAATGGGAAGAGATTCTCCAATCCTGGCAGTGGAATTGGATGTGGAGGAGATGGCTGAAAACCACAAGGCATAACGAGACACTTTTTCTTGTGTTTGCTTGTTTGTGACGAAAGCTAGATTGTGTTCTTTGATTGAGTTATGAGAAAGAAAAAAAACAAATAAATCATCATTGATGATATAAATCCGAAATTTTAACACTTTACGTAACAATCTTGGAACCAGAGTGTTTGTAGCCTTATATATACATATACTTGCGACAAGTGTTGTAACTTGTTTGTGCCTCATTGACTCTGCCAAGTAAAGGCACAATCTATTTCTCATAAAGGTTTCTTACTGAAACACAAAAACAGAGAATATATGCACTAGTGATCGAATATAGAGCTGGTTGATGTCAACTTGAGATGATTAAGATGCGAATTATTACCAGCATCAAGGTAGGACTGAGGTGGAATGTAGTAAGGGGCCGGGTAAGTTGAAAAATCACTACGGAATATAAGCTGATCCTCGACACTGAATACTCCCTCTTCGTTGTCTTCTATGAAATAGACGAAGCTGGAGCATAAATGGCCAACCGAGCTGGCCTTGAGACAGAAAGGTTCCGACTTGGAGAGGAAAACGATCATTTGCCTCTCTCCCTTGAGGTTGTTTCTTTCTGTGAACCGCTTAACCAGAAACATCTCCCCCGTTGGGTCTCGACTCCACCAACTGCTCCGTCGTGGTACAAGTATCTAAAACCCCCCAGCACCGACTGCACGAACTCTGGAAGCATTGGAAAGCGCCATGTCATCATCTTGGGTTTGTCCCTGTGGTTTTCAAGATACAGTACTCTGTATCCTGTATTAGGGATGGGCTTAATTTTGTAATGGGTTGTTGAGACTCTGGGCCCATTTAAATGGGCTTTTAATAAACTTAAATGGTTGACAAAAAAAAGAGAAAACAAATCTATAAAACACATATAGAAACTTAGAAACACACACTAGCAAATTTCCATAAAACTCGATAAAAAAAAAAACCCCTAAATCTCTCTTCGCTTCTTCATCATCAATTCATCATCATCATCACGATCTCTTTCGATCATGTCGATAGCGACGCAGATTAGCCGTGATCTCTTACTCTCGTCCTCTGACAAATCTCTTCGTGCGGCGACAATAAGGATTGGTTCGCGGATATCATCGTGAAAGCAAAGTGCAGGAAACTCATCGAAGAGAGCGGCGGAGGCAACAGAGCCGACGCTATGATGAGGATAAAGAAAGAGAGGCTTCTCTTACTGAAAAAGCAGCGTGAAGAGAAATCTAGAATCGAAGCAAGGGCCTTGAAGTTGAAACTTCGACGAGAGGCGAGGCTTGCGGCGGAGAAGACGGACGAGGAAGCTAGAAACGACGTCGCGTTCGAAGATGGGTGGTTACCGGAGTGGGAAATCGCGAATCTGTGCGGTGGCGCTCGTAATTTGAGGAGTCGGTTTTGGTTTAGAGAGTTTGGTCTGGTTTTGAGACCCGACGGTGATTATGATGACAAATCTCTGGAAACTCGCGATGATATTGAGGAAGGTGAGATTGTTTAAGAGTAATTTGGAATATCGGATTGCGTATAAACAACTTTTTTTGATTGTATATGATATAATTGATCTTTTGATTGAATCCCTCAATCTCATGATGAATCTTTTTGTTTTCATGTAAAGTCTGACTTTTGATTGTTTACTTTCTGGCAAGGAAATTGATCTTATCAGAAGAACGCTATTCGTACACGCAAGTAATAAGAAAGTTTCGGTTTTTTGACCATTCATTTAGTTAAAATTTGTTACACTTTTTTTTGTTTTTGTTTTAGGAAGATGCATAAGGCTCAATCTCTTCACAGCAAAAACCAGTAACAAGGCTTTGTAGCCAAGGTGCGTTTTTTATAAGATAACATGAACTTTAATTGACTGCTCAGTTCTTGTTGGAACCAAATTTGGAAAGTTCCTATGTTCTTTGCACTTGTTGCTGATTCAGTTACATATACACAGGATGTGTAAATATGAACCTTTATGAAAGGCTTATTATAAGATTCTTGTCAAAATTGGAAGTAACAACGGGCTCTGTTTCTTACTAAAGAACACTTATGCTTCTTTTCACTTTCATTTGTTTCATATGCTTTGTGTTCATCACATGTGGCAGATGACAAACAGTTCTTCATCTACTCATTACCACCACTGGCTCAGGTAAACGTAATTTTCATCGTTACACATTTAGTCAACTCTTCATTATGAAATACTCAATCTTTTTAATGTACAAAAGGCCTATTAGCTCAGTTGGTTAGAGCGTCGTGCTAATAACGCGAAGGTCACAGGTTCGATCCCTGTATAGGCCACTTCTTTATCTTACTGAAATTTTGTTTTTTCCCCATATGTAATAGTGAACAACACACAACATGCAGTGTCTGAACAATTCTTATAAACGGCAGAGCGTTAAACACACGCAGGGGAAAACTTGTTCTTAAGTATGTATTCGTATCTTAAGTTTGTGGAATCGGTTGTGTCTATGTAGCAGAAGCGAACACTTGGTGGAGACACCCACAGGTGATATTTATTTTGTCAAGTGGTACACACAACGGTGCTTGAGTAGTGGGATGGCGCTTACGGAGCGGTTCTACGTGTTCAGGCTGTTGAAAAACGGAGCGATTTGTCACATTAGAGATATTGGAGACAAGTGTATCTTCCTCTCCTCCAGAGGTGAACCTTTCTGTCTCCAGGCTAGCTTGTATGGCCTCTCCAGAAACTGCATCTATTTTGTTGGCGGCGATGACTTCGGGAAATTCAACATCGCCGATAATCTTGTTGTGTCTAAGGAAATGACAACTTCCCCTGCCCCTTACATCATTCCACCTCAATCCTAGCTAACTCTACATTGATTTCTTGCTCAGTGTTTTAAGGTTAGATGATTGAGAAACGTATTGTTGCTCTCTTGTGTCTTCTCTTTCTATGTTTTGTGGATTAGCTTTCAGAATGTCGTCTCTGTCTTGCCACTGTTTTAAGAATTTTCTTCTTGTATGGAAAATGCCCCTACATGTATCAGATTTGAGTCTTGTGGAGTGAACAACATTTTCATTTTCCCCATTCTTGATAAGCTAAGCTGCATCAATTAGTCAAATCTGATCAGTCGGCATTGATGATTGGAAGTTGGAACAACAGTTAACCGCACAAAAAAAAAAAAAAAAAGAGTAGATGGTCAATACCTACTCAATACTGTATTTTTTAACATATCCAACTAAAAGACTAAAATCCAAAAAAAAAAAGCAACTTACACTTGTTCTGTTGTCAAAAAAACTTACACTTGTTCTTGCATTTTGAAGTAGAACAAAAGTTTACTGTTGAAAGACTAACTGGATTTTGGTAATGGATTTTATCCAAATCCGATCAAACTTTCTCTTCCAAACTATTAAAAAACAAAAAGATGGTGGTCCAGCTGAGTACGAACCAGCAAGCCATAGTGGATCTGGGTGGCCCCGAACTGTAATCCGTCCACTGCTGAGAGCGAGAAGTAGTCGCTGCTCTGTGAAACCAGCCTCACGCATTACCCTCCTCTTTAGTAACCGTCTGACCCAAGCCTTCGCTCGAACCAGACGAATAACTCGCCAGCTTGGACCGGGCAGTCCAGAAACATGCCAAACCAGAACCGACCGTGGATCCGAACCAGTGTTCCACCATCTTATTGTCCCCACTTGGGTCACAAGCTCTAGTTACTTAGCTCGACGTTCTGTAGATGCTTCTTTTTCGTATATAAACAAATACGATCTCGGTACAGAAACCGATGTGGGAGAAATGAGACTGATTCAGACTAGTTTTGAATTCTGAGATGGGCCGAAAGGCCCGAAACAATATTTTTGAGGCTCATGAGATAAGAAAGCCCGACAGTGTTTTACGCATTGAGCTGTGAAGGAGACGGATTTTGAGAGATAGCACAAGAGGGAGAGAGATGGGAAAAGCCAATGCAGGAAGAAGAAGCTAAATCTCTTTTGTATTTTGTGTGAATCTGTTTATGGCGCTTTCAGGAACTTTGCAGCTTACTTCTGATTACGTTCCTGGTACTCTCTCATTTTCTCTCTTTCTCTTCCTCAAAAATTGCGTATTTACAATATTTCTTCTTCTTCCTCTTCGTTGGAAGAACGCATACTAATTGATTCCTCAGTGGTTTAGGCTTCTTTCACTGAAACTAGAAACCTTTTGCAGAAAACGTTCGTATTCGTCGAAAAAAAAATCTCCTTGTCCGTATTGTTTATTTGGATAAGCTCTTTTTCTCTTCGCTGGGTTTTGTTATTGGTATGTCCACCACTCGTTCGATGAATTGACTCTGTGAAAGTGATAATTTTTAGACGAAATTGATACCAAGCTTCCTTACTTGCTTATATAGATAACGAAACTGCAATTCTTGTTGCTTAATTCTTATGAACCCATTTTCTGCATAGTAATTGCAAAAACAAAAAAAAAAAAACAGGTTTTTCTCGCTCATTAAGATTATGTTAGCTTAGGTAGCTTGATAGGCCAAGTGTATTAATATTAAAGCCTTAATCTTCATCACCATAGCTTCCTTCACAATTTGGAACCTTGTTCTATGCATCCTAAAACCACGAGTGGCATGTGCCACCAAGTTTTTTTTTTTTTTTTTATGCATAATTTGGTGTGTGATGTTGTTCTGTTATGTGACATTTGATCAATAATCTAAGGAAAGCATTGGAAATATGATTGAATAGATTTTTATGTGCTCATCATTTCATTAGCATTGGCTATTTATCATCTGGTAACAATATTTTATTATGCTCTGCATTATTAGTCTGCTTACTCTATATGTTATTGCCTTTGTGAAAACAGGTTATGGAGTTTCAGATAGCAGGAGGAGGTTCTTGAAATCTTCTGTCTCAAGAAGAACACTTACCGTATCATCTTGCTCTTCCTGTCTGGTTCACAAACTTGGCGTTGGTAATGGACATCTAAAATCTGCCATTAACAAAGCTTCCTTTGTGTGCCGAGCAAGTTCTTCAGGCCACAGGAGAAACAACCCTGATTTCTCAAGAAACAACAACAAGCATGGATTCCGAGGCAGAAACAGGCGAAACGAAGACAGAGACGGTTTGGTAGATGGTAATGCTCTCGAAGACTCCGAAATCTTGTCTTACAAAAACGGTCCTATGTTCTCTCTATCCAACTCACCGAAGTTCCAGGGTGCTTCATCATCACCTGGACCAAGAGAGAAAGAGATAGTGGACCTTTTCAGGAAAGTCCAGGCTCAGCTCCGAGCTCGAGCTGCTGCTAAGAAAGAAGATAAGAAGGTTGAAGAAGCTTCTAAAGGACAAGGAGGGAAAGAGAGTGAGACTGTTGACTCCCTTCTTAAGTTACTGAGGAAGCACTCAGGAGAACAGAGCAAGAAGAGAGATAGCAATGTTAGTTCTGAGAAGCAGCAGCTACATGGAGATGATGATGATGATGTTGCAGAAAGACAGGATCACGGTTCCAATCATTTCGATTCGCGGAATAAAGATCAGAACGCAGTGCCCTTTACGAGGCCAGCTTCAAGCTTCAGACGCAACTCCCCTGTACCGAGGCATAAATCTCAGTCAAGTTATTTTAGTGAGGCCGACGCCGTTTATGATGAGGCATCAAGTTACAGTGTGACTTGGACTCAGAAAAAGGATCAAGTAGTGTCTCGTGATGAACCTGAATACGAGCCTGAGCTTGAGCCTGAATCAGAACCAACACTAGCCATTCTGGAAACAGAATCAGAGCTGAAACCAGAGTCGTTTTACCAAGAGGAGAGTGAAGAGGATCATGAGGTGGCTTTAGATGAGTTATCAGAGGATGATGAGTCTCTCGTTGTAGAGGAAGAAACTGCGAAAGACGAAGACTTGAGTGCACTAAAGTTGATAGAGCTTAGAGCCATAGCAAAAGCAAGGGGTCTTAAAGGGATTTCGAAGATGAAGAAAGCTGAGCTTGTTGATTTGCTGAATAAAGGATGATGATTGATGGAGAATTAACATGAACATTGATTCAGTTTTTGATACAGCCAATGAATCTCCAAATATTTTGTATTCATAATCTTTCTTAATGCATTCTACTTTGATTGGTTAATGAGTTTTTCCCTTTTGCTTCTAAGAGCAAAGTTGAAAAATGCTGTTCGTTATTTTATTTAATGTCCTCGTTAGTATGCTGATTTATCTTGTAGACAGATTTAACTTAATTAGCGGTATTTTCAAATCGCTCTTTGAAATAAGATCAAATATTTTGAGGTAATAAAATAAAAAGAAATCGAAAAGGAGTGAAAAGGACAGAAACATGACGATAAAGAAAGGAGAAAAAACGTGGTAGGGTTTTGTTCCCTGCCCATCTGCCCGAACATTCATTTTAAGATTATGCCCTGATTCCTGATTAAGCAATTAATGAACTTCTAGATTTCACCATATTCTTATAAATCTAATTACTATAACGTTATATCTTTTTGCTGCGTCGTAGTTAAGCAAAATGATTAACCAATGGAGTACGTGGTATTTGTCTATTATCGCATGAGTATTGTAGTGGGACAGAAGAGAACTATTAGCAAATGTATAAATTATAAAATACAGAAATTTCTTTTATTGAATTTATTTGTCAATAACATGCAATATATTTTTTGAATTTTGGATGGTGGCAATAGTAGCACTAGCATGAACCATTAGGCTACATCTTCTGTTACTTTTTTTTTTATAAAGTACATCTTCTGTTACTTTTATTAATTGTTATCTATACGACTATACCATAAGCATATAATAAGTATAATCTCAGTATTGGACTTACGTATTATAGTTCTAACTTCTAACCTGATATATCAATATTTCTTCTAATTCTCAAGTATTAAAATCAGGTAACATGTGATGTCTTATAGCTATATTTTGGTTGGTTGTTTGTAATTGTTTTTTTTTAGTCTAGTTGTGGAGTAAACAAGTCGCGAACTTGGTATGTAAATGTTATCACATATCGGAAGGAAAATGAAAGTTGAGGTGGCATTAAATTGAGTGCAATGCATGTCTTTAGAAAACAAAATAAAGTGACACAACAGAAGAGGTCGGTGTAAATTTGTTTTTGTGCTCTGAAATTGAAGTTACTGTCCTCATTTAGTATGTGACATTGACTGATGATGTCAGGTCCCATCCAGTTTTCTCCCTTTTATTACGAGCCTCTTGCCACTTTCAGTACATTCAAAACTATTATTTAGTTATTCTCTTTTTCGATTTTCATTTTCATAACCTTTATATACCTCGAGGTGCGCCCGATAACCTAAAATATCATCTTATATATTTATCTCCCATTTTCCCCTATATTCAAACAGATCATGTATTTTGATACTCGTGTTCGATCAAATGGAATTTTCAGAAAGAACATGTAGCTAGAATCGTAAAATTCTTCATTGTCCAGGGTAAATTTAAAATATTTTACTCTCCTTTTTTTCTGAATTCGGATATCAGTTATATATTAGACAATTATGATCTAGAATGAGTAGACTTAGCTTGGTCTTTACCGACTTCTCGGAAGGACTAAGGCTAAGCAAATATAGAATACACCGGAGCAAATATGCTTTTCAGGTTTGGTGGTTTAGAGTGATGATGGTTTTCATTTGGTGACAAAACGTTTAGCGTTAGACTTTTCTCCATTCACCGAAGTAGAATGGCATGAAAAATGAATGTTATATAGTAGGTTAGTAGTATAACTGAATCTACTAAGAGTCTAGCTAAGACAATATACCTAAATCAAATATGTACATCCGTTTCCAAAATTTCAAGTGTCGTGCTAATTTATAATCTATCAACCACCATGCGTAGAATCGTATTCGAATCTAAGATTTTACATACCTTAATTATATTTTACGATGGAACAATTATTGGAGAGAAAAACAGTTTTGGAAAAAAGCAATGAACATAACGACATAATTGTCGTTAATGGCTGATTTTTCTGTTGTGAAAGAGATAGCTATAACATTAAAAAAAAAGTATTACATAAATATTTCGTACGCTCTCAACACATGAAAGTTGTGCATGTGCACGCAAAACATTGGCGTCCTCAACGTATTGAGAATCTACAGTTTCTAGGTGATGGTACTTAATTTAATAATAGTTCGATTAGTCGTAAGGCAAATGTTGAAAGGACAATGGTTACTTAAATATTCGTTGATGTTTACAAAAGCAGTGTTACGAAGTTCGAGCCACTGCTAGGAACCTAGCTAAATGCAATATGTGTCCTGTTCAATGATAAATAGTTAAGGAAAGTTAGTGTTTTAAGACATTTTAACTTAGTATAATGTCTAGAAAGGATGTTTGCTATACAAATATATAAGGGTTTATGTAAACGAGGATTGATTTGTATGTTAGTATGAGCTAGCCAGTATATTTTGTCATTTTGTGAAGAGATTTGTGGAGCAACTCGAAGATGTTAACCTAATAATGCCATAGTTCAATTGGATGAGGATATATTTTCTTACGAGGTTTAATTGTATATTAATTTTTACATTTCCTTTAGTTCTTTTTTTTTTCATTTCCTTATTTCATTACCATAAGCTAATTTTGGATCTAGAAAAAATATAAACCAAACCAAATGTCTAATTCAGCGATCCAGGGTCCAAACCAAACTATATACGGCGAATTATTTTTTAGTCGAGAGTGAGAATTAAGTTTTTAGTTTGCACCCAAAAAAAAAAGGTTTTTAGTTAATGGTGTCAGAAAGAGGTATAGATAGAGAAAACTTGACACAATTTGAAACTAGTACGGTAGTACCAATACAATAATAGAACTCTATAAGAAATTCTTGTCATTGTTAAAAGAAAAGGGTAAATTTAATGAAAGGGGAGACCAACCTGTGGTCTAACTTTCTTCTTGGGTCTATGTTTTTTTACCATTTCAGACTAATGAAATAAAATATTAAAGACTATAAGATCTTTTGCACAATGGTCCGAAGAAAAGCCCTTTTCATATGTGCCCAGGGAGAAGAATTGAGGGCTATTTTGGTAAATAACAAGGAGCTGTCATTCAGTTCTACAGTAGAGATGGGAATATATTTTAAAATATTCATATTCATATATTTAAAATTGTTTTCCATCTTTTTCAAACTTTTGGCTGCCTTTGTCCACACCTAAATGCCCAACTCCTTTTCTGCCTTTTTCTAGCGACAGAAAATTATTTCATTAGAACAAACAAATAAAAGAGAAGGAAGAGTAACAAGACATCCAAGCTCACGAGTCTTTATCAATAATGAAGCCAAATATCAAAACAATCATATTCTCTCTCTACTCCACCATGTAAATGAGAGTATTCAAAATACTTCAAAGATAATTTTGCTCGTATTTTTAAGTCTAACTGTTTTCAAGTTGAAAACAAAAAACTTTACATTTTCAGCTTTACAGTTTTACCCCAAAACTTTTTTTGGCTGCCTTTGTCATTTGACTTAACAGTTTAAAATGAGAACTCAAATGCAAATCATACAGATACCGCTTCTTATTGTGACATTGTCAATGATTTTTCAAAGAATTCAGAAGAAGACATAACCAACAGAATTTCTCTCAAAACAACTTAGGTGCACCTTTTTTGTTTAAAACTTTATAAAATTTAAACATATGATATGTATATATAACCTAAAAACCCTAAAAGCAGGCCAAACATAATTTAGATAGGATCATCATTCTTTGTTGCTGACTTCGTAATTATAACTTAAAGAAGCAGACAAAAGTTTGATAGAAAATCAGGAGAACAAATTTTACATACATAATTAAAAAGTGTTACACAATTTATCATCCAAATTATTAATTCAGTCATGTTTAATGGTTATAGTTATGTATAAAACCTTTTCACGAACGTTCGTTTAGTATTGTCCCAAAAAGGCTATTTAGTTCCCCCCGACATTAGTTTCGAAATATTACATTACAAACGAAACAAACAATGGATACAAAAGTGTAAAGATCTGAAAACTATAGTCCACTTATCTCAACTAATATATAAAAACAAAATGAGGGGAAAAAACCCGAAAAAGTTTATAAATTCTTGTTTTCTAACAAAAATAATATTCTAAGAGAAATAATTAATACACATGATATATATCTTCACAAAGTAACCTTATATCTCCCAACCGCACAAACAAAATTTCAGCTCCTCCATATCCACCAAAGAAAGATCAAGAATCAAGAAAAATCCGTGCAAGATCCTAATTAACATCGATCAATCCGTTAAAAATGGATATGATTCCTCAATTGATGGAAGGATCTTCAGCTTACGCAGGAGCCACAAACCTCAGCATCATCGCAAACATCTCCTCCTCATCCTCTTCCTCCGTTACCGGAACCACTTCAGCTGAAACAACGCAACCACCGTCTTCCACCTCCTCTCCATCTGCGAACTCAAGCCGTTACGAGAACCAGAAGAGGAGAGACTGGAACACGTTCGGACAGTACTTAAGGAACCATCGACCACCGCTTTCGCTTTCCCGATGCAGCGGAGCTCACGTGCTCGAGTTTCTCCGGTACTTGGACCAGTTCGGTAAGACAAAAGTCCACACGACCGTTTGTCACTTCTACGGCCATCCTAATCCTCCGGCACCGTGTCCTTGTCCTCTCCGACAAGCTTGGGGAAGTCTTGACGCTCTCATCGGCCGTCTTCGAGCTGCCTTTGAGGAAAACGGTGGCAAGCCTGAGACTAACCCTTTTGGAGCTCGTGCTGTTAGGCTTTATTTAAGGGAAGTTAGAGATATGCAGAGCAAAGCTAGAGGTGTTAGCTACGAGAAGAAGAAGCGAAAGCGTCCTCTTCCTCAGTTGTCGTCGAATTCTTCTTCCTCCGCCGTCGCTAGCCACCAGCAGTTTCAAATGTTACCTGGTACTAGTTCTACTACTCAAATACTAAAATTTGATAAGTGACTTCAAATAGTTAAGAAAAAACATTTGAGTACTTTATGTAATCTGAAGTGTGAATCGGTCTCTTTCTTATATGTTGGTTTCAATTTAGGTTTATGTGTTTAGTCTTAGAATCTGGTGGAAGAAGAACCAAGGTTCTTTTGTTACTAGTGTATGTTGGGGGGTAAGGAAAAGTAGGGTTTCAGTTTTTATTATCTAATAAAAAGAGAAATTCACATAAATATGTATATATATATATATATATATGTTATATGTGTGTGTATGTATTTGTCATTGTTTATACTGGTTTTCCGTTTCATTATCTTTAGCTTGATGCGGTTCTAAAACAGAGAGGTCGTAGGTTTAATTTAGATCGATTTATGGAGTATATGATGATACTAGAAATAGTTTTATTGTTTTTTCTTCTTTTGATGCAAAACAGTGGTCGTTGTCTAAAGTGACAGTGAACTAATAGTGGTCTTATAGTAGTTGACAGTGATTGCACTATCTATTTTAAATTCTGAATTTAACTCATTATTTTATATCCATGATCAAATTCCCCCCAAAAAAGATTTTCTGAATTCTCGCACCCACTCACAAACCTTCACATGCATATGTGGCATGCTTCAGTCTTTCGTCTCCAAACTCATTTTTCTTGTTCATGTATAATCAATCATAGGTTTCATTGCGAGTGATATGTTTTGTTACTTTTACTTTTACCTTTCCATAAGAAACATAAAATTGTAAAAGAAAATAATCAAAAAGTTCCTTAAAATACTCCACTTTTATCTTTCTTAGTACATACTTTTACTCAAGAAGAAACACTGTGCATGTTTAGGCTTTTGCAGAAACCCTAGACTCTCTCTATATATATATATATATATATATATTGATTGATATATAATGCTGTATTTTTATGGTCATTTAGTTTCCACCACTAAGCCAAATATATTATGGAAATTTAATTACTACATCGTCCGTAACAACTAAGGTTCTAAACAACATATGATATGATACCCTTGTGAATGCCATAAAGAGGAAATAACCTAACTTTGTGATGTATGCATAATCTTAATTATATCTCATGTACCATATTAGAAGTTTGATTTCTTTTTGATGACCTGGTTGTATTGTTTCACGAATACTATGTAAACAGAACACTGTAACGTTGATAACTCAGTTGATCATGAAGTTGTTTCCTTAATACAGAAAGATTGTCTCCTTTTGTATCGTTCGCTGTAACTCTGAAACATTAAGATGAAATCGCTAATAATTGTGTACTCAAGATTAAACTGTTGAATATCTAAGTACCCTCATTGCGGGTTAGAGATCAATCTAATGAATAGCTAATTAGCTATGTAGTATGATTTTCATAAGTAATTTATAAATTAAAAGATGATTCTATAGATCAGTTATTACAGAAATTTAATAAACTGTAATTTTTGAATGTGAAAATGCATGCTATTCCAGTGACATAACAGAAAGTATATGTGAAAAACAAAAACAAAAGATAAAAAAATTCCTTAATGATTTTGTTGTTACATTCGGTATACATATAAATTCTAAAATTAATAATGTTAGAACCATGATATTTTATTAATTTAGCGAATTATTAATTTATCGAAAGATAATTTGAATCAAAAACTTAGTTTGGAACCGAAAAATTATATTGATTAATCGAGTTATTAATTTATCGAGTATTAATTTATAAAGTTTTTACTGTATTGCATGCAATGTTCCTACTTCCTTTCATTCAGCTGTGTTGTATTTTCTTTATTTGTCAACTAGAACCTACTGGTAATAAAGTCCAAATAGAATCATAGTTTGAGATTCTTAAAATCTGAAAAAGGTTATAAAAAAATTGTGAAAAATAATGGGTTGTTTATAGCATTTAGGGAGGGCGAAAGAGATAAATATATCATTTTTTTAAATATAGTTTTTTATGTTTGAAAAAATATTTCCTGTAATGCACTTCTAAATATTTTGGGTCACTTTCATAAAATAAATTATAAATTTTTGTTAAACGACAAATACATGGAAAAGTATTGATTGGACAGATTTTTAACCTCACTTTGATTTTTTAATCAATATAGTAGTTTAGATATCGTCACAACAATAGGTCCACCGGATGAAACAAACTTTTGTCAAATTTGAAAATCAAACAACAAATGTTATAGTATTTTTTTATATTACCTTAAACCAAATATGTGAACTTTTGGTATGTTGATATCCTCATTTTGTGTACACAAATGATATACTAAAATATACAAAGACTAAAACGAAATAAAATAAATATTATTTGGCACATTGTGTAGTGTGTTGCATCATTCATGAGTGTGTTAGAGATAGAGCCAGAGTTCTGTCTCTCCCTTGTCTTGTCTCTGTAAGTTGCTCCTCGCAGAGCACTCAAAGACCCCAACCCTTCAACTTTTATTGATTCTTGTCCATTTCTGAATTTCCTCATTTTTGTAAAATCCATTTCAAAAGATAAATCAGTTCTGCAATTCTACATTTCAATTTGCATAAAGGCTTTTATATGATAATGACTTGAGTAATCTATTTCTTATATACGATACTGTATCGTTTATATTTTCCAATTGTATTTTTCTACCTGGAAATTCCAACATATCTTTTACTCTCTCCATTTCAAATTAGTTGTAATTTTGACAAAATGTATCTGCAATGCAAAACACGTCCAAATACGTCCAAATATTTGCAGATACATTTTGCCAAAATGACAACTAATTTGAGACGGAGGGAGTATTTAAAAAAAATGTTTTCATTCATTTTTATCATAATAGATTAATTGTTTACATGTCTCAATATGATAAAAATTGCTCATTTTGGTTAAGACTTAAAACCAACGGTTTAATAGTTACATACTAATTGTGGCAGATTTGATTATTCCTTTTTCAACGGTTCGAACTTCAAAACACCTAATCATAAATTGTTTTGGTCATTATTCTCTTTAAACCCGACCGACAGTACTATCGAGAATTCGATAGTCTATACAAGGTTTCTACTAGGCCTGGGAATTCGGTTAACCGGTCGGGTTTGGGTCGGTTAAATCGGGTTTCGGGTATTCGGGTTTGGAAATCTAGTAACCGTTCGGGTATTTGGTCGGGTTCGGGTCGGGGTCGGGTTTGAAATTTCGGGTTCGGGTCGGTATTCGGGTTGCATCCAAAATCCGAGATTAAACCGATTTTTTTCGGTTTCGAGTAATTGTCGGGTTTTCGGGTTTTTTAACTTGATTCCACCGTCACCAGCAATATCCCCAATGCCAAAACTCTGAAACCCTAAATCTCAATGAATAATTTCATAGATCTCTTTTTGTCAATTATCCTCTCCTCTCCCAGATCTAAAATCATTGTTATTTTCTCATCTCTGCATCATTATTTTCTATCCTCCTCTCCTCTGATTTCTTCTCCTTCGTCGATTTCTTCCTCTCATACTTCCACTCTGATCACTATTCCGACCTCTCCTTTTCATGGTGCAGAGGAATCATCTTCTGCTCTCACAAAACCGCTAGCCTCTTAAAGAAATCCTTCAAATCCCGTCACAAGCTTGATGAAGAAAAAATTAAGGATACAAAGAAAAGGATTTTAGTTCTTGTTGGAATTGAAGATTGTGTAAAGAGAAAGAATATGATAGAGATTGCAAAGAGATGCAAAAGGAAAATCTTTGTGAATTTGAGAAAATGTGGAGGAGGCGCTGTTTTTTTTAGGAGGAGCTGCATGTTTTTTAGGTTTTGGGTTTGGGTTATCGGTTATCGGTTATTCATTCGGTTATTGGTTATAAACCGAACCGAACCGAACCGAACCCGATCTCAAATCAAAATCAGAACCGATTGGTTAATATGGCAAACCCGAACCCAACTCGGGTCGGGTTTTTCGGGTCGGAAGGGAGTTCGGTTATCGGGCCCGGGTAAAAGTCGCGGGCCTAGTTTCTACTTTGAGCTAGAACGAACAATCTCTTGCACACATTTTAATGCATGACGTCAAAAATAATACTTTGAGGGACTTAATGGTATTTGTGGTTCCATTTCAGTTTGCAATATGCCTGCTCTAAAATAATAATGTGATCGACATGAAAAGCCATCATTAACAAAGCGTTAATCTTCATTTAACTCATTTGTGAGAATTTCACCAACAAAAGTAATCAATGATGAGACTTATCTATAGACTTTAATGTGGATTAAGTAAGCATAATAATTAAGAACTTGGCCTTTCGACTTAGATATGGAAATATATCATGGCCTTTCCATATATGATTAAAACAAAAAAAGAAGGACCTTTCAAAAGAATCAACACACACATTTATTATCACATTACATAAGTTTCCACCATAATTATTCACATTTTTGGATTGATACGAATATTTCAATTAAAAGAAGAAATTGAGGAGGCCGCCAAAAAAAAAAAGAAGAAATTGAGGAGACAATCGACATTGAAATGAGGGACCCCGAATTTCCACATGATTCTCTTGTTTCATCATTACCTACCAAACCTATATTTAGGGTCTGACTGGTTTAACCGCTGCGGTTGCGGTTGCGGGAGTTTGCGGCTGCGGGAGTTTGCGGAAGCGGGAGTTTGCGATTAAAAGCTGTTTGTACGACTGGTATAGCAATTCATAGCGGTTGCGTTTGCGGGATATTTTTGACTGGTTAGCCAGCGGGTGCAAGAGCGGTTTAACCAAAAGTTACTAAAATAAAAATAATATATAATTATTCAAAACATTTATAACCATATTAATAATTTTTTTTTTGAAATATATTTTTTGATGAATTTTTAATTTGAAAACTACCCTTTTTTTTTGGTTTTGAAAAATACACTTTTTATATGTAAAATGATTATTCCTAATTTAATAAAAACGAAATTCAAATAAGAAATATAAAATATTAATATTTGATAATAATTTTGTATCATTTTAACATCCTAATTACCTGTTTAGTTTTTTTTAAACAATTTAATAAAAATATAAGATTGTTTATATAAAGTTTAAATGGGGTGAGATTAAAGTTGTTTATGCAAAGTTTCAAAAATATTTAAATTTTTCAAAAGATAAACATTAAAAATGAAAGATATATTTCTCCACTTTTAAATTTTTAATAATTTATAAACTTTAAATATATGTAAAGTTTTAATTTATTTAAAGTTTCATTTGGTTTGAATGTGTATGAGGTTAAGTTGTTTATATAAAGATCCAAAATATTAAAATTTGTTTCAGTTTAACATATACTATATTTATTTGAAAAAAAACTTATTAGTTTATTATTTTTTTAAATTTTCGTTTATAATTTGTAATTATTTATTATTTTTTTGTTTAAATCACGTCAAAACATACTTTTTACATTTTAAAAGTGTATTTTTCAAAACAGAAAAAATTTAGGGTATTTTCGAAATTTTTAAACATAATTATGGTATTTTTCAAAAAAATATACCCTTATTCCAAATTTGGAGATATTATGTTTTTTTTTTTTTTTTTTCAAACCGCAACCGCCCGCAACCGCAAACGCTTGCGGAAAGGAGCTTTTGATTTTCAGCGATATAGAGCGGTACAGAGTGGTATAGAGCGGTTGAAAGCGGTTGTCGTGATTGTTATAAAACGCTAAGAACCGCTACGAACCGCAAACGCTGCGTTTGCGGGTGGTAGCGGGAGAACCAATCATCATCTTAGTGAAACCCTTGTGAGACTCCACCACATGCATACTCCAAATTTAACACCTCTTGTTTTCTTAAGTCAAAAACAAGATTCTTCAAAAAGAAAATTAGATTAAAAAAAAACTACAAAGATTTTATTCTCTTTTTAAAAGTTAGAATAAATAACCGAAAAGAATCGAACCAAATTGGATTTTAGCTTGTAAAAAACCAATAATTATATTCTTTCTAAAGAAGATAATCCAGTGTATATAACAAGTCTCTGAATTGCAAATTTTCAACACCAAAAAATGAATAAAACAAGAATCCAATGTTACTTTTCTCTTTAGTCCTTACTCCAAATCAACAAAAAAATGATACAAAAGATGTACATAGAACCCACTAAAAACAAAGTTTTAAAAACTCAAGTTGTAGTTGCAGGTTCTTGAAGAGCAAGAGGAATGGCTGGTCTCCAAGTTGTTCCCTCAGGACTATCCATCAAAGCGATCCCAACATTTGCCAACTCTTTCCTAATTGCATCAGATCTTTCGTATTCTTTATTGTTCCTTGCGTCTGTTCTCTCTTGCACTCTCTGCAACACATGCTCCTCTTCTAGTCCAGCTCGCTTTAGTGCCTTCTCTTTTAGCTGCTGAAGAACCTAAAAGTCACGAGGAAACAGAACAGTTTCATACAAAAAACACAAAATAGATGCAGCAAAAGGGATGTCTGTATGGAAGCTGTACCTCTGAGTAGCTTGTAGGCATAAGCCCTAAGATAGTAAGAACATCTCTGATTGTTGTCTCTAGAGCCTTCAGTGACTCTTCTCTTCTTGGTTGCTTTTTCCCCTAAAAATCCAAAATCATCAATTTTTTTAACTATACCATTATCACTTGGCTGCGTAAAAGAAAGCTCTTGCAGTAAGTTATATCTACCTTCCGGGTATGAATGAGATCGTTGATGGCTTTCAATGGCTCTGACATTGCAGCCAGAGTAGCTGGTGTGAGAAGATCATCCGACATTGAGGCAATAAACTCACTACGGAATGTGTTGATACTTGTCAAAGTATCTGAAGGAACAGAACCATTCTCAAATGTCGAGACTTTCTCGCCTAAAACGCTTTCACAGTCGTGTAATGTCTGTCAATAAGAAAATGAGCAGCTTCAAAAGGACTGTTGTCAAGAACATAATGTTGTAGTACTCCAAAAATTCAATCTTTCAAAGGAAGGATCACCTGATAAATGTAGAAGATGCGTTCTGAAGCACTCTCGAGGAGGAAATCAGAGTAATTGATAGGAGATCGATAGTGAGTTCCCATTAGGAAAAGCCTCAGAGCAAGAGGATGATAAAGATCTATAACCTGCGATGTTTTGCAAACACACATAAATGTTATATACAAGAGGAAAATTGGAAAAACTTGACAATGCTTGCTTTACCTGTCTGATAGTGAAGAAATTCCCCAAAGATTTGGACATCTTCTCAGAGTCAACAGTAACAAAGCCATTATGAATCCAGTAACTGATGTCGCTGGTATCACAAGCAGCACAGCTCTGAGCAATTTCGTTTTCATGGTGAGGGAAGACAAGATCCATTCCTCCACCGTGTATGTCAAAGCTGTAACCGAGATAAGCCGCGCTCATCGCACTGCATTCTATGTGCCAACCTGGCCTTCCTCTTCCCCAAGGGCTCTCCCAAAAGGGTTCTCCTTCTTTTGCAGTCTGCCAAAACATTCAAAAACTATTCTAAGAACTTGAATAAGATAGTCTGTTATTAGGACTAAAACATGATGAAAATGCTTACTTTCCACAGAGCGAAATCTGCAGGATGTTTCTTCCTCGTGTCAACCGCGACTCTCTCGCCTGCACGGTTATCTTCTAATTTCCGTCCAGACAATATTCCGTATGTTGGAAGTTTATCGACTGAGAAGTACACATCTCCATCAACTTCGTAGGCGTAGCCATTATCAATAATCTGATTAGAAGAAACAATTACATATGAATGTAAGCAAGAAATGATCAATTGGTCCAACAAGATTAGGAACTAGAGGAAGCAAACAACCTGCTTGATCAGGTCGATGATTTGAGGTATATGATCAGAGACACGTGGTTGGACAGAAGGATCTAAACACTGAAGCTGTTCCATATCTCGTTTAAACTCCTCACAGAATCGTCTGCTCAAACTGATGGGATCTTCCCCTAACTCATTCGCTCTTGCAATTATCTACAAAATTTCAAATTTTTCATAAGTCAATTGCTCAATCATACTACAAAGTTTGAAACTTTCATGAAGCAAAACTCAAAAACTTGCTCTAAAGCTTCAAAACAGAGCTGAAGTTGTTTTAAGACTCAAAACCAAGAAAGAGTTTAGTTTCTTGACATGATTGTTCTCACCTTGTCATCCACATCAGTGAAATTTCGAACATAAGAGACTTCATATCTTAGATGCTTAAGGTACCTGCCTAATCCCCAATCAAAAATCAGAACAGAAAAAAGTCAAAAATCAAAACTTTTTTGGACAAACCAAGCAAAACTTTATAAAGCTTCGTTCTTTCAAGTCGATACCTCAAAAGAACATCAAAGGTGACGTAGACGCGTGCGTGTCCAATGTGGCTGAGATCGTAAGCAGTAACACCACAGACGTACATTCCGACTTTACCTTCGACCTTGGGCTTAAACAGCTCCTTCTTCCTGCTCATCGTGTTGTGAAGCCAAAGCTCCTTTCCACCGGGAAATGAATCTCCACCGTCCGTTATTGAGTTTATCGACGGATGCGATGATGATGACGACAGAGCAGTGAAACAGCGACGGGATTCGGATCTGAGAGGGAATTGGATTCTGAGACGGGAAGTGAATTGAGACCTTGGAAGAGAAGGGAATCGAATTGGAGTAAAGTGTCTACATGATTTGAAAAGATTGAGAACAGAAGAAGCCATTGATGGAGCGATAAGCTCCCGTTGAAGAAGATGATCGGATAAGAAAAGCGGCGAGCGATGGCCAAAACCTCTGAAGTCTCCAACTAATAACGGTTTGTGTAAACCGTTTGTTTGTTCTCCGGTTCGGTTTAAATCGGAGATAACCGACAAAATCGTTTCTTTAAAGTTGGAAGAAGAACCCTAAGACGATAAAATTCTCTCACTCTTCTTCTCTTCTCAATTTCCATCATCTCTTTTGAGTTCTTCGAATCCTTTGTTGTTACCACTTCCGGCAAGATATGGTGTTTGGACAAGTAGTGATAGGTCCTCCTGGTTCGGGCAAAACCACTTACTGCAATGGCATGTCTCAGTTCCTATCTCTGATCGGCAGGTTTTGTATCTTCTTTCTCTGTTGCTCAAATTTTCTGGTTTTAAACCAAAAGGAAGAAGCTTTCTTACTTTTGTAGCTGAAATTCTGTATATAATGGTTGTTACTCTGTATCTAGCTATTTAGAATCCACAAAAGTTCCAAACTTTATAGTTTCAAAGAGTGTTAAAGTCCATAAATTTGAATCACCAGAGTGTTGAGCTCTTTAATGGTTAATTGTTTTGAAATGCTGCTGCCATTGTATTTGTTTTGCAATCCAATGGCAGTAAAGGAAAGAAAAGTTGCTTGCTTTTGTAGCTGTAATTCTGTCTATATTGGTTGTTTCTCTGTCTCTAGCTATGTAGAGTCCACAAAGTTTCAAACTTTTTAGTTTCAAAGAGTGCTAAAGTCCGTAAATTTGAAATTCCCTGACTTTGGAGCTGTTTCATGGTTACTTGATTCTGAGATGTTGTTGCCGCTGTCATTATGTTTGCAGGAAGGTTGCTATTGTGAATCTGGATCCTGCAAACGATGCATTACCGTATCCTTTTTTTTTTTAAAGTCAAAGCGTTTAAAAAATGGTTGAAATTGTTGAATAGCTATTGAACATTTTTGTTTAGGTGTGAGTTTGTTTCTTGACATTGATATTTAGTTATGAATGTGCTGTGAATATTGACGAACTGATTAAGTTAGAAGATGTTATGGTGGATCCTGCTCTTGGTCCTAATGGAGGTGAAATTTCTTCTCAGTCTTGATTTTTTGCTTTTCCTTCTGAAGTCTTATCTTTGATTCTGTCAAATGAACAACAACTTTTACAGGTCTTATGTATTGTATGGAATATTTGGAGAAAAACATCGACTGGCTGGAATCTAAACTAAAGCCTCTTGTAAAGGGTTAGCAACAACAAAATCTCTTCTTTATTTATTCTTGGTGTTATATTGTAATGTCTCTTCTCGTTAAAGTAACAAGTTTTGAAACATTGCAGATCATTACATTCTCTTTGATTTTCCTGGCCAAGTGGAACTCTTCTTCGTTCATGACAGTAGCAAGAAGTTTCTCATGAAGCTGATAAAATCGTTAGACCTAAGAGTATGTGCTTATTTTTCATTTCTTGCTATCAAGTTGCTAAACGAACCCTAAGAGTCTAATATATCTGATAAAGTCTTTCCTTTTTACTTGGTTTTGCAGTTAACTGTTGTGCAACTAATTGATTGCCATCTATGTACTAATCCCGGGAACTATGTAAGCGCGCTCCTTCTCTCGTTATCCACAATGATTCATATGGAACTCCCGCATGTCAATGTCTTGTCTAAGATAGATTTGATTGGAAGCTACGGGAAGCTAGGTATGTTTACGGTTTAAAGATGTTTTCTCTTCTCATAACATCAACTTTCAAAAGTGTAGTATGGAACTCAGTAACAACCATCTCTTTGTTGTTATGTAGATTTCAATTTGGATTTCTATACCGATGTTCAAGACTTGTCATACTTACAGCACCATCTTAATCAAGATCCTCGCTCTGCTAAGTACAGGTTGATGATATAAAACATTGCCTAAATACACATGTGAACGGTCAGTCTCAATATATCTCATGAGTTTCGATGTTCTTGTTGCAGGAAACTAACGAGTGAGCTGTGTAGTGTCATTGAAGATTACGGTCTTGTTAATTTTACAACCTTGGACATTCAGGTTTGATATCTCCTCTGCACCTGCAAAGCATATTGTGTTCTGTTTCGCCATTTTGAGCATTTTTTGGTTTTGTTTTGTTTCCAGGATAAAGAAAGTGTTAATGATCTGGTAAAGATCATTGACAAGACCAACGGATACATATTTTCCGGCATTGATGCAAGTGTGGTTGAGTATAGCAAGATTGCAATTGGTCAAGCTGATTGGGAATATAACAGATATCCTTTTTTTAAGAAAGTTTTGAATTCTCACCATTGCTTGATTTCTATCAATTGCTCTGAGTTTAGTTTTATGTCTTAAGGTAAAAGAGATGTTTCTTTAACGATAGTCTTCACAGTTGCGGCTGTGCAAGAGAAGTACATGACAGACGAGGAACCGAAGACTCAGTAGCTTGAAACTTCCAAAGAAGAAGAAGAAGGAGAAGAATCATGGATGAGCTGGTCTAAATCTCTCCGGACCAAACTATGTAACGGTTTGTATTAACCGGTTTTTAATTTTTGGGTTTGGTTTAAGTCTAAACAACTTACTGGTTTGGTTCACGGAGTTATGCTAATATCGGAACGACTAATTTGATCATTAAAAACAAATATTTACATTACAATGAAAGTGAAGTATAGTTGAAAACACAATTTCAGTAAACCATTTTGTTTTAAATTTCGAAAGGGTGTAAAATGAGGTTTTTCGAAAGCGATAATGCTTGTGTTTATTAAAAGAATTATGTCTAGTTTTATAATATTCAATACAAGGGATGTGATGACGTATTGACGTGTGCATCCAGAACTTCTAAAATCAAAAATTAAGTAGACTTAAAACGTGAATTAATAGCCACTAGCAGTAAACAAAAAGAGAGAATGATTAGTGATGATGAGGTTGAGATAAAAATTAAATTTCAAAGAACTTTCTCGGTGTGATATTACGTATGACCGTATGCGTAATCGTTAAATTATTATCGTTTCGTTTTTCCAACTACTCACGTTTTTATCATTTTAATTTGTTAAACCGAATATAGTCTCAATTTAATGATATGAAAGTACTAACCGAATGGTGTAAATGTTGATGTTTTCGTAGGGACCATCCATAAATTCTAAGGTCTACAAAATATATTTATTTTCAATTTTTTATTTCTATTGGTTTAAAATGTTTTAACAGTTATAACAATATCTACTACGGAGTGCTTAAAGAATTCACAAATGGGTGATAATTAATCCAAAATATGCATATGAAACTACAGTAGACAACTGAATTATGTTCAACATATAGTTTGTAATATTTTGGACCTTGTACAGAAGCTTTACAAACCATTGACCAACAACAAAACTAAAATTCTTTTCACATATAAGTATAAATTTTTTAATTAAGGGATTAATAATGGAGAATTAACTGACTGTGACTACTAGTCTACTACTATTACTATATCAACCCATTTTCATTTTCGTTTGACTTTGTTTAAGATTTCTCTAAGAAACCAAACTAACGAAATGGCTCCCCTAAAAGATTCTACCTAAAATGATGTAAAAGATTCATCATATATTTACATGCACATACGAAAAAGACAACTCAAAGACAAATATAGAGGAAACAAAAACGATTTTCAAATTTATTCATTTGGATTACAAAGACTCTTTTAAGTCTTAACGACAAAAACAACACAGAATCATAATCAAAACTCGGGTATGTCGGAAAATGCCTCAATTCTACGACTACTAGTGAGAATATCAAACCAAAACTCCATATCATCATTATACAACTTCGAATTATTATAACTATTTAACTTACTATTTATATCTATCAATCCCTCCCAATCCTCTATATTTTTCTCGTTATCTACCGACACGACGTCCGACCAAAAACTCTCATCAACCAAAGCAGTAATATCCTCGTACGACATAATATCGTCCTTGTTATTATTTGTAATATCAAATGTTGTTATACTATCAGAAGATTGTTGCAGAGAGGTTGTGTCGACAGTCAGAGATTCTTTGTCTTCGTGTGTGGTCTCGTTAATGTCTTTGGTGTCTCCGCCACTGTTTTGATTTTTGTTGAGTCTTTTCTTCAAATGAGTGTGCCAAACGTTTTTTATTTCATTGTCGGTTCGTCCTGGCAATTTTGCAGCGATCGCAGACCATCTAAATTAATAACAAACAAACAAAAAATTAAAACACTATTCAAAAAGTGTCACATACAGTAATATAGTATTGATTTCAACAATTTCTTACTTTAATATTGAATTTTAGAGCAGAAAACATGGAGATAGAAGAAGACAACAAACCAAAAGCTAATATATGACATATGTTTTGCATTGATCAAAGTGCATATCTTGTTTAATTGTAATCTAGTGAAGATTGTTTTGGGTTTTTTGCTATTAAAAACTACATAAAATAGTTAAATCTTTCAAGACTGAAGCAATCACGGGTAGGAATCTTGCAGCCCCACTGTGTTAAAAATGTTTGCAAATTGAAAAAAGAAAATCATTTCTAAATTTAGAATTATGCAAAAGTTTAGAAAGTTGTCCGAACAGATTGATGATAAAGTTGTAAACAAAATAAAAAAAAAGACAAACCTGTTGCCTAAGACTTCATGTAGATTGATGATAGTTTGTTCTTCTTGAGGAGTGAAATTGCCACGTTTGATGTCTGGTCTCAGATAATTGATCCAACGAAGTCTGCAACTTTTCCCACATCTAAGTAAACCTAAAAAAAACAAATCACCCAAAAATTTATTTATAGATCAAGAATTACGTAAAGATTATCAACAAACAAGAAGATTAATATACAGAAAAATGAAAATCACCTGCGTGTTTGGGAAGAGCTCGCCAATTAGAATGACCATAGAGATGAATATAATTGATCAAGATTTGATCTTCTTCAGGAGTCCATGGTCCTCTCTTCATCCCCATTTTCTCACAACATGGTGCTCTTCCCATTGTTTTTTCCGTTGCCCTCTCAAGAAAATAAAACTAAAGTTACAAGTGTTGCTCTTCAACAGAAGTAAAATGATTAGATGACCAAGTGTTGGATGGGTGTGGAGTTTTATGAGAGCTAAAGAAGCCAAATGTTTGAAGGAAGCATGCGATGTAGACGTTTAGTGTGTTATTATATATAGACACACACATATTATTATACAATTACAATGCAACCGTGGGACAACTCCAAAGTTGAAATTTTCTCATACTTTTGATTCACACAGTCAAAAAATTTCAACTTTTGTTTCCTTTAAACTTTTTTTTTAATGCATATAATCTATTTCTGATAAGGTCGAGACAATAATAGTTAGAAACACAATAAGGTTTTTAAAATAAAATTCGTAACGTTAAAACAGAACTTTGCATAATGTTTCTAACATTTAAGAAGATAATGAGAAATTATACGAATTTCAGTTATTATAAATATAAAAAAGCATATTATTTCGTTCTACTATTTGCTGTGTTGCCAATGTAGAGTACTTCAAGTTGCTCTTTTATGTTTGTGCAAAAGAAGAAATGATATTTGTGTAAAGGCATATAGGGAGTAGTACTAGAAAAGGGTGGACAACTTCTCCAAAACTTGACTTAGATTTTCGTCCCGATATATATTCCAATGTTATTCTGTATCCGGAATTTTAGCTTCAGATTCAAATTGTTATAGATAGATCTATTTTCGCAGTTATATGCAGATACATGATGCATGATAGAAATTTTGAATACTAATACTCATGTATAATTTACTTACCTGAAATATATAATATTATATAGGATACTTATTTTTCTTTCTCATGAAATCTTAATTTTATATATACATAAAAATGTCAAAGAAAGAGGCTCATAGTGCTCAATTACAATCAGATCATGGCCCAAAAATTAATCAAACTTTTAACTGTAATCAAGCTTGTTGGATGACCTATAAGTCAATAAGAAACATTAAAAGTGTCATATTCTTTCTATGCGCATAGTATATACACTTTTTCTATTGTAAATAATACATTAGTGCTGAATAAAAAATAAGTACGTACAGCCAGAACAATTGTTCTGTTAAGATGCAATGAGATTCGTAGACATCAATGTAGGTACGTAAAGGGGTTCCTCTTTTCTTTATATATATGATATGATTTAAGATCATGTTAACAAACACACAAAATTTTGAAATGATATAGTATGATTTGATGACTCTCCTTTTTGTTCTTTGTTCACCCTTTTTTTATATTATATATGACTTGGTATGTACCTTGGTCATATCATATGAAACCTTATATTTCGACAAAATATTTATAATTTATCTCTGTACAGTATATACCAATTTGAATTAATTGACCAAGACTTGTAGTCTAGTGATACGTTATACTATATGTATTAGTATTGTCGTAAATTCGCCATTCATGCTCATATCTGCCATTTTACATGTTGTTGATTGAAAAATAAAAATTTAAATCCATGAATCAAGTGAATATATTTCTTTTTTTTTTTTTTTTTTTGTAAACAAGGTAAGTGAAAATATTTCTTAATATAAATAGTCTACCAAATGATATTTTCAAACAATGAATCATTTGCTGCCAAAAAAAACAATGAATCATTTTTTTGTTAGAGTATGACATTAAGTAAAGTTAACATAACTCTGAGATCATCAAATGTAACTGTTGGGCATTAAGTGATAATCTAGTGGTACGGATCCAATAATTACATGGTTCTTAACATGATTTCAATTGCACATCTTCACCATTAGAGCTTTTACTTTAACTATTTGTTTCCCTCTGTTAAAAGCAACTTTGTATGGTGTTTCAAGTTAAATGTATTTAGACAAAAAATTATAACATTAAAAAAAGACTAAAACAAGATCATCGACATCTATTCCCATCATTACTAAGATCTTGCCCTTTTTTCACAATTTATTCTTTTTCTCTTTTCCGTTTTCTTTTTGGTTTGGCCTGTTTTTCTACTACAATGCGGCTTATCTTCTCTCGTAACACTACTCCAGTTGTGATTCCAATGTTTCTAATGCAAGTGTTGTTTGATAATTCAGACCTTAATTGATAAATTCAAATCAATGTACAAAACTACAAATGGATCGTGACCTAACGAAATCTAGATTTTAGTTGGTCCTAGTGGGTCCATTTCAGTATATTAAATACTATTTTTGTCGCTACCTTTTGTAGTTTTCCGGGGTCGGCTGAGTAACATTATTGATTACATGCATCTCAAAACAAAACAAAAAAGCCTTCAAATTCTCCGTTTAATATTTTACTGTTTGTATCATCTTCTTGAAACCATTCCTCTAGCTGTTTTAGGTTTCTACAATCTAACAATTATACTGTTCAAACATCTACAACAGATAAAGACTATTCAAGAGTCTTATTCTTCTTTGAGTTGGGTATAATTATTAACTACACGATATCCAAAACGATTATTATACACTCGATGCGTGTATGTTTTGTGACCACGATATCTTGACTACTACTCTATGCCAGAATTTTCTCTTTCTATAATCCATCCTATGCAGGGGTACAAATTTGAATCAGGAAGACTATACAACCTCGTAACGTCACATGCATGAAAAGCTGAGTTTCATAATTTTTGTTGTCTCAGCTTTATCTTGGACTTATCCTCTAAGAAACTTATAACTCTGATGCTCCCGTTTAAAATCAAAATCAATATCAATGGACCCATCTGTCTAGTAGCTTGGTTCAACAAGCTGATTATCCCAAATTTTATCCAAAATAGAACCATGATTCGAATTTTCTACCATGATGTCATAAACGATAAACCAAACGAAATAAAATAAAAACTATGGACCTACGTATAAATTAAGCAGCTTTGATCATTTCGTTTATCTAGTATTACTGTATTAGATTACGTATAAATTAAGCAGCTTTGATCATTTCGTTTATCTAGTATTACTGTATTAGATTCAACAACAAGCCATAAAAGTGGTATACTTTGAGATAGTACACTTTATTTAAAGACCAATGAGTCTAGGTCTAAAGAAAAAAAAAAAAAAGAGCCAGTACACATAATTTGACCATGGAAAATAAAAATTTAAACCACAAAGAGATCAACTTTTCTACTTTATGAAAAAAAAACAATATTAAATATTTTTCATAAAAAGTATTAATCAGATTCCACTTTGATTGATTGATTTATAATTTTATATGATAATAAATCAAGACTTACAATGGCAAAACTAAAGTACAAACGAGGACAAGAACCGTACTGTCACGCTTTTGCTTCACCTAACAATCTCACTCTAGTCTTATCAATCTAAAGTCTTCAAGCACTTAGATTAATGGATTCATTATCTGGACAAAGACTTCTTATGTCTGCCAATCCGTGTTTACACTTGAATGAAAGTCGAAGCTACCAAGCGAATCTTGTTCCCGTGCCATCGAGAAACCTATCAGTATACCATCCTTTAGCTTGCACTTGAGATAAAAACGGATTGAAGACATCGTTCATTTTCTCATATGCGTCTTGCAGTATCACATCATCAGAGTCATTGTACTTCTTTCTCATAGACTTGGCATACGCTGCAACTAGCCACCCTCGCAACGCATCTTCACCAGTTGCATCGTGCTCTAAAACCATATCCGTACATGACTTCCCATCATGGCTCAATAGAAACTTCTCTTCTACAAACACTTCTTTTACTTTCTGCACCTGAGAAGGCTTCACAGCTTTACGAAGAGCCCTTCCCACTTTCACATTTCCTGCGTCTTGGATTGGTCTCTCCGGGAACAGAAGGTCTTCTTGGAATCTTAGATCAGGAGGGCTTGGGACTTTACCAGTCTAAAACAGATTCCACAATAATAAAATTGATGTAATCAAAACAAAAGAAATCAACAAGATAGTTTGAGCTTAAGATGATGCTATTTTTTTACCTTGAGAAAATTAGCCACGATCAAAGCGGTTCGCTGTGGATTCAGTGTGTTGATCGGTACTCCTCGCATCTGTTCTACAACGGTAAACACATGTACCGCTGAAAGAATCGATCCAACCACCAACTGCAGATATCATCAGCCTTTGTCTAAGATAAACGTGTTTTAATCCAAAAACAAATAGAAACACTGCATTTTTAAAACAGAGAGTAACGGTCGAGCAGAAGTAAATAACCTTTCCCTCCATTGATGAACATACTGTGGAAGCCAGTTGGATCCCAATACCAATCCCAGCAACATTGAAAAGAGTAGAGATAGCTTCTCCTTTGGCAAATATGTCGCTAAGATTTCCTTCTTTGGCGAAAGATGAATAGATTGGTAATCTTGTTGCCCTTGCAGCCACCACAGCCATTCCCTAAAGTGAATCAAACAATGCCACAAGAATGTGAAACACAGGGATATGGTTTGCAAAATTATGGTTTCTAGAAAGCTAATCTATCTCATGTGTCTCCTGTAGAAGCTGCTGAAGTATATTAAAAACAAACAAGAGAGAGAGATATATACCTTGGCAAAATTCCCAAGACCAGCCATTTCAAGAAACAGATGTGGGCATAAAGGAGAGACGAGTTCCAGACCAGTACCAATATCATAGAGTACGTCAGCTGTAAAAATGAATTACGTTTTATGGTTGACACTGTGGAAGAAAACAGCAGAAACATGTATCTAAAGAATGGTAATACATACCCAAAATCCTCCACCGTTTTGGCTCAGAGTCCATTCTTGCACCCAAATTGCTACAAATCAGCTTTCCCACATGCTGCATCCCATCCTTCAGAATCTATTAATCCAATGGAGTCAACAAGATTTTTCACTTACGGTTAGGCCAAGAACTAAGAAGCTGAAGTGGTCACATACCCAGCTAACAACGGTTGCTTGAGCCGGAGTAGGCCGCAAGCCTGCAGCAAATAGCAGTGACTGCAGAGGAGTAAAACAAAAGCTATAGATCCATGTTAAACCTCCATTGCAACAGCTCAAGTAAACTAGAATTTGAACCACATTGCAAGAGTGATGAAGAAAGACCTGAGTAGATAACACTGATAATGCTGCACTGGAGAGATGCTGAAGTGCTCGGAATTGTGTGTACCTAAGATAACCTTCGTTCACACTGTAGAGAAGAAAGAAAGAAAGAAACTTTCAATGGTTAAAGCACTTAAAGCAACACAAAGGAATCATTTTCTCTTGCTTAACCTGAAGATCCTTTAAGAACAACAGTATCACCTGTATGGATATCCAGAGGGGAAGAACTTGTTAAGGAAGGATTCAACAATCTTCTGCGGAACTGGTCTTGCATCATCAACAACTTTCATCTAAAACACACACGAAGAACAACAGCAATGTTGAATTGAGTAGTTTTATCGCAATTGCGTATTCGGATTGAAAATGGGAAATTGGGGAAGCAACAATAGCAGAGAGAGAGAGAGAGATGAAGTTACAGAGAGTTGGCCATCGGATTGGAACTGAAAACGGTGAGAGACGGAATCGGAGGTCTCGAACCAATAAACGGGAAAGTCGTCTGGATTCTTCACCACCACCGGCTCTTCCTTCTTTATCATCTTCACCTTCTCCTGCTGTTTCCGTTCACCAAAGTCACCAAATCATTGAGTTCATTTGTATAATTGTACATGAGATTGAAAAAACGAGAAAGGAAATGTGAAATCCGACCAGAAATTGCATCTTTGAGAGAGAGAGACGACGACGACGGCACAGGCAGGTCTCGAAGGTTGGAGTCAGTCGCCGGAGCTAGACTGAAGTGTGAACCGCCGCAAAACCCAATCAAAGAGATGAACCTGAAAAATGTCGACGTTTTTTGTACAATTGAGAATTCAAAGGCCTAAAATGATTTAGCTGTTTTACAGTATTGGGCTTACAAAGGCCCAAACGAAAGTTAGATACGCGGCGACTAGTTGTTGGTCATTAAACGACGACTTTTCTCTGAGTCATCGCGTTGCTCTAACGCCACCGTCCCACTTGTTTTCTTCTTTTCTTCTTCCCCAAAGCATTTTCAAAAAACTTAATTAGCAAAGCGAAGCGACGCATCAATTTTTATATACATTCCATTTTTTGGGATAAATTCGTGTCGTCTTCGTTTTCCTCACAACTCTGAAATCTCTCTCAAAAACCCGATTTTGGTCTGAAGAAAGTAGAATCAAATCCATGCCTTTCAGAGGACTTAGCAAGGTAATAACAAAAAAAAAAAAAAAAAAACTTTTATCTCTGCATTATACTCATTGTCTCTGTATAAATTATCTAAAAGTATCTATTTTTATACAGAGAGATTCTAGTCGCATGCACTCTTTGGATCTTCAATTTCATTTTCTGAGAAATTTGAAAAGAAAATAAAATGATTTTGATGGAAAATCGATGTTACAATCCTTCTCTTTGGGGTTTTTTGGAATCATCATACTTGCTATAAATCGATTAATAAAAGAACCTGAATTTCGAGTGTACACTTCAAAAAAATTGAATCTTTGATATGGATTTTATACGATTGTTTGTTTATATCAGCCGAATGCGACATCCGGGATGGGTGTTGCGGAACAGAGCAAAACCACATATCACGAGCTGCAGAGGAAGAAAACTCACCGCTACGTTGTCTTCAAGATCGACGAAGCCAAGAAAGAAGTGGTGGTTGAGAAAACCGGAAACCCAGCAGAGAGCTACGACGATTTCTTAGCTTCTCTACCCGACAATGACTGCAGATACGCTGTTTATGACTTTGATTTCGTCACCTCTGAGAATTGCCAAAAGAGCAAAATCTTCTTCGTCGCTTGGTTAGTTTTCCTCGAAAGTTTCTTTGAAATCCTTCTTCCATAACCGTAAAGCAACATTGTTGATTGATATGTGTGACTTCGTTTTGTTTGTAGGTCTCCTTCGACATCTCGAATCAGGGCCAAGATGCTTTACGCGACTTCGAAAGAGAGGTTTAGGAGGGAGCTTCAAGGGATTCACTACGAGATTCAAGCTACTGATCCTACAGAGGTTGATCTTGAAGTCCTACGCGAACGAGCAAACTGAAACTTCGCTACTACTGAAAAGTTTGGAACTTTATGTTTATGTAATGAATAATCATTCGGATCTTTCTTTCTTATATTCTCTCTGATGAATATTTGTGTAACACAGTTGTGTAAACTCTGTATATGTTTCAAATCGCTTATCTTAAAGCTCCATGTAACTTAAAACTGCCTAAGGTTTAAGATCGATTGATAAATGTTTCTTGCTTGTTATCACGCAAAGCTGAAATTGTGGATGATGAATATTAACATTCAAATTTTTTTTGACTCTAGTTGATAAAAAAAAACATTTTGGTCTTTTTCCGCAGAAACAGTTTCTAAGGGTTTACAAGGACGAACGATCAAAGATAATTTCTTGTTGAATTTCAACTCTAACGCCTCTCAATTCTTTTTCCGATGAGCACCGACGACGGAGGATCTCGTCGCATCCGGTGGCTTCTCGGATTCGGTTTCTTCGTTCAAGGATTCAGGGGTTTCCCGTGGCTCGGAGCCAATTTCTTCCTCACCGATGAGCTACGTGTCAATCCCTCAGTGTTACAGCTTCTCCAGAACTCGGCGAATCTTCCGATGGTCGCTAAACCCATCTACGGTATCTTCTCCGACGCCGTCTACTTCTTCGGCCAACATCGCATCCCCTACATCGCCTTTGGAGGTATATCTGTCACCCAATCAAAAATCAGCATTCAATTGGTGATGATTTGCAATTGTGAATCAGAGATGATTGAGGAAAATGGTTTCTCTGTGTCAATGGAACTTGCTGATGATTGATTGTACATCATTTACTTGTTATTTGCAGCTTTGCTACAAGCAATCTCATGGCTAGCCATAGCGTTCTTGTCAAGATCCAACGTGTCAATCTCAGCTTTGTCACTCTATCTCCTCCTTAGCAATCTCGGCGCTTCCTTAGTCGAAGTAGCAAACGATGCGATCGTCGCCGAGGCCGGGAAGCAAAAACAACAATCCGGCGAGCTCGCTTCGTTCGTTTGGACGGCTTCTTCTCTCGGTGGAATCCTGGGGAACCTTTTAGGTGGCATTGCTATCAAAACGTTCTCCGCTCAGTCAACGTTCCTCGTGTTCGGCGTCTTGGCTCTTGCTCAGTTCCTTGTAACCATATCCATCGAAGAAAAGTCTCTGAATCTCCCGGAGAATCCATCACCACCGGCCGGTATCAGAAAACATCTCTCTGACCTCTCGCAGGTGTTGAGGAAGCCGGAGATCTCATACTCCATAGCCTGGATCGCGTTATCGACCGCTCTGGTTCCTGTTCTCACAGGGACGATGTTCTTTTACCAGACGAAGTCGCTGAGAATCGATGCATCGCTTGTAGGGATCTCAAAGGTGGTTGGTCAGATCGCGATGCTGTTATGGGGTGTTGCGTACACTCGCTGGTTCAAATCTGTCCAGCCGAGGAAGCTGATGACATCGATTCAGGTGACGATTGGTGTCTTTGTGGTGTCGGATGTCTTGTTTGTGAAGGGCGTTTACAGGGATTTGGGAGTGGCGGATTCTGTGTATGTGGTTGTCTTCTCTGGAGTCTTGGAGACTCTGTTTTATATGAAGAATCTGCCTTTCACCGTGTTGATGACCAGGCTCTGTCCTCCTGGATGTGAAGGGTCTCTCATGGCGTTCGTGATGTCAGCCATTGCGCTCGCCTTTATAGTTAGTGGATATCTTGGAATCGTGCTCGCGTCGTTTGTCGGCGTGACGGTTGATGATTTCTCCGGTTTTAGTAGCGGACTTGCTGTAGAAGCCATCTGCGTTGGGATTCCGCTTCTCTTCACTTCGTGGATATATGATGAAACAGAAGCAAAGGAGAGAATCAAAAAGAAAGAATGACTTCTTCTTTTGCTGTGCTTGTGTTAAGGGTATATTTATACTGAAAAAGTTTGAAACTTTTATTGTTTATGTGATGAATAAAATCATTCGACGGATGGATTTGTGTAACACAGTTTCATCTTCTGTGGTAACTGTATAAACTCAGTACTTGTTACAAATTGCATATCTTAAACCTTCATGTAACTTAAAACTGCCTAAGTTTAAGATCTTTCTGAGACTGGTTAATCCTAATTCCTAATTATTATCCTAATATTTGTCACATTACTAGTTTGACTTAAACAAATCATTCACCATATGAAATGTCAGAGAGAAAGAAGAAGAAAAACACCACGGGACATGTACTCTTCTTCTTCGTCTTGTTTGTGAGACCCGTTTTGGGTTAGCCAAAGCCCAATAAGAACCCAAAACAAAAATTGTACATATGTATATACAAGTATCTTCAGCTTTAAAAAGAAACGTGAGAGAGCTTGTGAACCCTAAAGCAGCAGCCGCATTCTCAGTTTGATCCATCAAAAATCGTGCTAGTGTTTGATTGATATTGGAGAAGGAGATACGAAACTGTGGAGAAGTGAGGAAGGAGAAGGGTGAAAAAATCAGAATCAGAAACGGAACTTACGGGGAGATTTCCAGCTGTTTCGTGAGGTCTCAGAAGCTGATTTTGGTATCATCGGAAAGATCGTCTTCTCAGCTTTCTAAACCATCCGAGATCACGGTAATCCGATTTATATTCAGAGAGTTATGGTTATTTCGTTTTGGACGTCGGATCTGTTCTAAGGTTTCAGAGTTATTTTTCCAGATTCTAGTTGAGGTTTTGTGAATCGATTTCCCGACGATCCGTAAGTCACCAGGAGTCGATCTACATACGGTTTTGTAGATCTCGAACCCACGTTTCCAGATCTTCTTTCAGTGGTCCAATCAGAGGTATACTTCATCCGCAAATCAGCTCTAAAGTTTACGTAAATCCTCTGTTCCGTTTCAGAGAAATCTCAGTTTTCCAGTTTTGCTTCCAGTTTCTGCTTGAGGTTTTGGGGGAAGGATTCCGGTCGAACCCGAACGATTCAGACCAGATTGGTGGTAGATCCAGATAGAGGGAGTGTCAGAGAAGGCAAGGGAGTCGAAGTTGGTACCATAGGAGGTATACTCCCGCTTCCAAGTATCTAGCTTGTTGGACACGAAAGTTTGTTTCTGTTCAAACCTGAATCTGTTTCCGTGTTCTGCAAGTTTCAGGTTCAGTTTTCCTACAACAGTCTCAATCCGTTTTCAGCCAAATTCAGGTGAGGGTGTGATCTGTGGAAACATGATTTATATTCCTTCTATTATATTGCAAGATGCATGGCATATAGGCTTTAGATCTGATTGCTAGATATAGGTTCTGTGATGATATGTTTGATATTTATGGAATGAAATGATATGATATAGTGTGATGATATGATGAAATGTTATGGTATGATATGATATGATGTATGTATGAATAAGAGAGGAAGAATCGAGCTATGGGCCATGGTCTTCCCTCGAAACTGGACTGTGATGGGCCGACGGGTTACATGCAGGTCACGAACGGCTGACGAGCCCGGTATGGGAGTGTATGAGCTACGGCTGCCTCCAAGCATGAGGTTATGAGTTATCACGAGGATGACTGAACCTAAGGATGAATGTTACCTTGCATTATAGCAGGGGTATATGATTGCTAGTGTCTAGGTTTATATGTTTTGTTGATTGTGGTATAATGGTAGAAATGTTTATTATGTTTCGGTGGGCAGAAATGATCTCCTCATTGAGTAATTAATTACTCATCCCCCCTTTCCTCTTTTTCCTTTTTCAGGTGTGGATGGAGACCTCGAATAGTTGCTCAAACTTGTCTTGTTTCTTGGTGTTATTTTGGAACCGGGTTTTATTTATTTTATGCAACAAATGTTTTCATTTTATTAGTTGGTTTTCATGAGATTTTGTTGAATGATTTTAAGATCTTTAATAAGAATGGTTTTTAAGATAAGGTGTTTGGAAAATGAGGAATACGGGTGTTACAAATTGGTATCAGAGACAGGTTAAAGCTAAACCGGTTCTGACCCGGGAAGCTCGGTTTTCAGGGAAAATGATTTAAAAACGTTTTTAAAAAAAAAAAACAAAAAAAAAAAAACAAATAACAAAAAAAAAAAAGAGGGGGTTTTTTTTCTTTTAATACGAAAATTAACAGTTTTCAAAATAAAATGGGACACCAGAAGAAACAAGACTTGAGCAATATTTGAGTTTCTGTTTAAGTACATGTTTATATTGATCTCATGTATTGTTTCTTTTTCAGAATGCCACCAAAGAAGACAACGCGTGTAGCAAATGCAAATGTAAATGCACGAGCTGCTGGGCAAGGACAACCACAAGGTGGAGCAGAACCTGCAATAACACGTGCAGAGGTGCAAGAGCTTCGGGATATGATGAGAGAGATTTTGCAGAGACAAGCAGCACCAGCAGTAGGCCAACCAAATGCTGCACCACATGGCCATCACCTACCACCAGCTGCACCACATGTTCAACATCCACCACCACCTCCAGCAGGGGCACCAGCACCAGGAATTGGTCTCACATACTGGGAGACACTGAGACTCATGACAGATTTGGGTACAGAGATTTTCAATGGTGGGAATAACCCAGTGGAGGCTGATGATTGGAGGAAGCTGTTAGAGAGGAATTTTGAGTCAACCAGGTGTCCAGTTGAATTCAAGAAAGGGCTTGCAGTTCATTTCTTGCGTGGAGAGGCACACATTTGGTGGGAGGGTGTGATGCGGAGCATGCCTGCTGGATATGAGATACCTTGGGAGACTTTCAGAGATGAGTTCAACAGGAAGTACTTTCCACAAGAAGCAATGGATACTATGGAGTGTTCATACTTGGAGCTTCGCCAGGGGTCCATGACTGTTAGGGATTATGAGAGGGAGTTCAACCGCCTTAGTAGGTTTGCAGGGAGAGAGCCTGGAGAACAGAAGTTGATTCGTAGATTCATGAGAGGGTTGAGGCCAGACATCCGCAACCATTGTTCAGTTCGAGACTATGGTAGTATGATTGAGTTGGTTGAGAAGGCGGCCATGATGGAGACTGGGCTTGAGGAGGAAGTTAAACACCTCAAGAGCACTCAGGCAAAGGCGACAAAGGTTGTGGAGTCTCAGAAGCGTACTTGGGATAACCGTGATGCAAGACAAGGCCAGAACCGTTTTGCAGAGTGTGCTACTTGTGGTAAGAGACATGGTGGAGTTTGTTGGGCCAAAACCAACAATTGTTATCAGTGTGGACAGCCAGGACATACCCAACAGAACTGTCCAAGAGGAGTCAATAACTGTAGAAGGTGTGGTCAGAGAGGTCATTTTGCGCGAGAGTGCACAGCGCAGCTGCCTGTAGGACAACAAGGGAACCAGAACAGAGGGATCCTGCCACCACCTCCCAAGAGACAGGCTGTTGGACCTCGAGTGTTTGCAGCAGCAGATCAGATTGGTGCAGAACCGATTGTGGGTACGTCTTCTATCCAAAGACTTTTATGTTATTTCTTTTAGCATATAGTAGTAGCATTGGTTCCTTTATGCTTGGGAACTGCTTAGAGAAAAAGTTGTGTAGGGTCTGTCCTTGTTGGAGGAATTACAGCCTACACATTATTCGACACAGGAGCGACACATTGTTTTGTCAGTCCTGAGGTGGCTAGATGCTGGGATTCGAGAATTGGGTTTGAAGATAGGCAGAGAAGGATCGACACTGCTGGCACAGAAGTAATTGGGTCCTCAAGAACATATCGAGATGTTCCAGTAGTGATAGAAAAAGAGGGGCTGCTTGGAGATTTCATCGAGCTGGAGCTGAAACATTATGAAGTAATTATAGGCATGGATTGGTTGACGCAACATAAGGCTATATTGGATTGTACTAGGAGGCGTGTTGATTTCACTCAAGCAGAAAGGAATTTGGTGTTCCAGGGAGTTAGAGCTTTGGGCAGAATTCCTGTTATTTCGATGGCTCATGTAGAAGAAATGAAGTGGAAAGGACCAGAAGTTTATTTGGCAACCATTTCTATTGAGGGAGGACCTATGGGGATAGATTTGGAAGAAATTTCTGTAGCAGCAGAATATGCAGATGTTTTTGAACCACTCACAGGACCACCACCAGAAAGAGGAGATGCATTTACTATTGAGTTGGAGCCAGGGACTGCT